ATTGCTAACTGCGAATGTAAGTTTGTAGCGTTTGGCAGTTTATTAATTTTAATATTATTCAGATTGTGATTGTGATTGGGTGCAATTAGTGTCATAGCTCGAGTGAGTACTGTCATCGTATCATCAGTTGCCCAACATCCTGTTGCGTGCGCTTCATATTATTCTGTGGCTCGACTTTCACCTACGAAAAAGCACAAGTTCATAGCCATCAATAAAAGAAGAAGAAGACTTTCGCCTGGCGCGGCAAGCCAAATAAAAAGCCTAACAAAAGCTGGACAGGCCGGACAAGACAATATTTGGCCGGACAAGACCGTAAAAAGCCAAACATGTCCGGCCTAAGCCGGACGCCTGGCCACCCTAGTTGGGGGTCCAACAATGACAGTTAACTTTTCCCTGGGACAAAGTTGACCTTCACTTTTTGGGTTGTTATTGGCGGTCATGCTGTAGATCCTAGCTACACAGGAGTTGCAGCGGTGGGAATTAGTCTCATACTCGTAGTATTGTAAAATAATTATGACCAGTTTTATTTTGTACTAGCTTTCCGCCCGCGGCTTCGCCCGCGTGGAATTTTGTCTGTCACAGAAAAACAATATCGCGCGCGTATTTGTTCACCGTTTAGATCTACCCTGGACTACGACAAACATTTTAAAACCAAAATCAGCTCAATCGGCCCAGCCGTTCTCGAGTTTTAATCAGACTAACGAACATCAATTCATTTTTATTTATATAGATAGATAGATAGATTATAGCGTTAGTAACTTGATTTTTCACAGCTCAACCCTTTAATATTTTCAAGTTCTTTTTCTGAGTTTGATCGTCAAGATGTTTCTTACAGCTGTTACTACTCAGTACTCACATGTACATAATTTAAAGACTTGCAATACTTTAAAAGAAGGCGATAGATTGATATATTTTAGGCCGAACGTATATGAAGGCTAGATCGATCGATGGACGACCTCGGACGCTAAAAAGTGCGCTGTTGCCGAGTGCAGCAACTGCAGCAAGCGCGAATCAGGCCAGACATTGCTTGAAGCACATTGAAGCACATCAACATTTTTGTGGCATCATTTTAGCCCACATAATATCTTACTTCAAAAAATGAGGAGGTTCTCTGTACGTTAATTTTATATACCCGATGTACGTTATTATATTAATATACGTTATATTCAGGTATATTATTGTTGTTGTCCACTTATAAGTAATGTCCACTTTATAAGTTAATTCCACAAAACGTACGTCAGAAGGTTGGAACAGTAAAACATGTGATTTCTTTAAAGGTGTATTTGCGACTAAAATAAAACTGGCGGGCTCAGCCGCCGACACATACAAGGAACAGTATAACTATTGTTTCCTATTGTTAATTGTATTGGGCAATGATGTGGGAACGCAGGGCGCTACTCAATACTCTCTGTTCATTCATGGAGTTAATTTATTACTCTGATTAATGTGTACCTACATTCTCAATTAAACTGCATTTTATGTTTGTAACCTCAGAACTTTTCATTGGTTTTTTATAGAACGATTTTTTGTACAATATTTTTTAATAAGATAAGATAAGAAAAACTTTATTTGACACAAAAAGAAAAAATAGAACAAAGGAACTTAAAACTATACACGCATATTTTGTGTCAAAAAGGCGCTCGCTCAGCATTAATCAAGCCACGCGTGCCCCGACGCTGGTTTTCAGCGGGTGCCTCTCCAACCAACATTTAAATTAAAAAAAAAATAACACTAAACAAAACATTGACAAAGACATTTAATAGAAATAATTCTGCTAATGTCGCGGTAAGCTACGAGTAATTATTCTGTGTTACATGATCATTGTTATCTCAAAACAAAAAAATATAATTGAATTGAAAATTTGTTTTGATTGGACCACCACAATAGTCCGGAGGCGGGGACGCACCCGAGTTCCTCAGATCTCAATTCGGCCAGTCCAACCGACCCCGACAACATTGGGCCACATTGGGCTGTGGCGCCCACATTAAGGACGTAGTAGCACACTTATCAACCCGGAAAAGGATCGTAACCGTATCAACTCGAGGCAGTCAGTAGTCTTTGTATTGAGTTTGTTCCGGCGATTCTTCTCAGCACTTGCCATATTGTTTGTCTCGAAGCGCTGGTAGGGCCCAAAAGATAAGGACACATGTAAAGTGCCCTTTACTTTGACTTATGGTCCTATGTCCCCTAGATGGGACAGAGGGCGTCCACAACAGTCCTCCATCTCGTTCGGTCTTGAGCTTCTCGCTTGATCTCGCTCCAGGTTTTGCCGATCTTCTTCGCCTCGTCCGCTACAGTGCGCCGCCAAGTTTGCCTGGGTCGACCACGTTTGCGTTTTCCATGGGGATTCCAATCCAGAGCCTCAATGAAGTGCCCCTTAAGGGCTACCTTTTCTTTTTTTATTATTTACATTTTGACGTTCATAAGTGCCACTTGTGGTCTAAACTGAATAAATATTTTTGATTTTTGATTTTTTTTTTGAAACTACATACTGCAACGCACACTTATCCCCACGGTAAGTAACGTCTCGCCTCGCGGTTGACAGCGCACGAAAGGCGATACGGTGTTGATCCGTTTCCGAGTTGATAAGTCTGCTATGATCTCAAAATAACATAGCATGGGGTTGAGCCATAGGTTGAGCTTTAAGCGACTGTGTTTCGTTTAGTTTGTACGTTTTTATTTGATGACTTGTCTTTCGCTAGCTAAATTAAGCTTGTCTTCAAAATTATTTCTTGTAAAAGCATTTTAAGTGTCAAAAAAGTTTTCATCGATAAGAAGACACAGTTCAATAGGCACCACCTAAGTATCCATAGTAACCTCTCTTCTTGCCTATTTATTACCTGACTGCGCCAGAAGGATGGTTATGTTTTTGCTAACATTTTTAGCAAATATGCATTCTGATTTCTAAAATAATAACGAGATTAAATAATCCCGTTATCGAAATGCCTGACATTCAAATAAGTCAAAGATTACACCGGTCAACAAAAAAAAAATTTTTTTTTGCGCATGGATTTTACTTAGGTATTATATTCTGATTATATAAGCAAATGAAGCCACGATAGCCGAATGGTGAAGGGGTCGGACTGGCCGACTCGTGATCCGGGGAACGCGGGTTCGGTCCCCGCCGCCGCTCGACTATTGTGGTGAGCTCACTCGTGACACAAGCATATTTAGCTTAGTACGAGGGGCTAACGGGAGTATTAGTAATTTGTGTAATAACAAATTACTAATCTTTTGTTTTTAAAAAAAAAAAAAAAAAAAAAATGTATATAAAAAAGTGCGATTACAAATCGAAAATATTTGCTTTTTAAGAAGTTATAGCGATTTGAATTTTCCATCTTCATAGTAGAATGTCTCTCAAGATGCACGTCACATTCTCATTGGTATATATTTATAAATAACTAGCTGACCCGGCGAACTTCGTACCGCCTTAGCGTAGAGATTTTCTTAATATTTTTTTCCGTAAGAACCATCCTTGGACTTCCACAAACATTTAAAAAAAAGAATTATCGAAATCGGTTCAGCCGTTCACACGTGATGCCGTGACAACGCGAAACGGGTTTCATTTTTATATATATAGATAGATTATGGGGGCTTATTCGCAAGAACAAGGGGCACGCTTTCATCAAAATATAGTGGGATTTGAGAAACGACGTTACCAAGGCCAGTATACTAAAAGCATGATAGGGTTAGATTTTTATGAAAAAAATCTTCTATGGAACATGACAGGAAATTAGAACTTTTCATTTTTAATAAATATTTGGACTCTATTTTAATTTTTCTCTTGTGAGAATGAATCTTAAATGGATGTTTATTATGTTTCANTAATTAGAAAGAATGAAAGAAAGAAAGAAAAAAAATATTTGGCAACAAATTACATCATCTCTATGTTCATGTTTCATAGGCTAGGTATATGAAATTTTCATACATTCATTGATATGAATTTTTCTATTTTTTACACATAAAAGCAAATTCAGAACAATTTTTTGTTGTTATTCTTGTTTCTAGGTTATAAAGCAATAAAAATAAACTATGCATAATCCGTGCGCAAAAATACTGTAGACAGTTGTTATTTAATTGTAAAAAAACAACAACAATCCCAGTCAAAACAGTCTACGTGCGTAGGCACATAAAGATTTGTTTGATATTTGCGAGCTCTAGGCTATTTAATATCACCATAATACCTACATAAGTATAGCATTCGGTATTAGACAGGTTGGAAGAAATATTAAGAGTTAAACTGAACTGCATTTAATTGTAATTTCATTTAAAAAGAATCCGGTCATTTTAGTCACAAAATACTTACAAATACTTATGGCGCTCGTGGTTACAGTTAGAACGGTAGTAGAATAAGAGATAAATGTTTTTTGACCCAATCCCAAAATTCTAACAAATTAAAAACTCGAAAAAACCCGGGTAAAAGAAGTTACTGCTGTACTCCGGAAAGGGTCTAAAAATTCACTGCACTCTGGACAATCGTCCTGTAAAATCCAGACTTATAATCCTAACACTGCGAACTGTAGTTGAAAACAAAAATCATTTATCCTACTAATATTATAATGGCGAAAGTTTGGATGTCTGGACATCCAGACATAACATCCAGATGTTTGTTACTCTTTCACGCAAAAACTACTAAACGGATTTAGTTGAAACATTATAGTATTATTGTTTATAACCCAGATTAACATACATAGGCTATAATTTATGACGATATGTGACAAATTAATTTCAGTTATTAAATAAGACGTCTAAAAAGCGCCATCTATTGTCTTGGTTAAAATCTACAGCGCTGGACAAACTACTGTTTTTAACATTCGTAAATATTCATGCCGTGAAACGCCATCTATCAACATGATATCTAACAGGGGTTAAACGAGGTCCACGCGTACGAAGTCGCGGGCGGCCGCTAGTTTAATCTATAACTAAAAACGAAGTATTTGATCTAGTATAGTATTTTTAGAGCAAGAGCAAGTTCTAAGTAAAAATAAACTTCTTTCCAGACTACACGGGTCATACGAGGCCTTAAAGTACGGCAGCCTGCTGGACGGGCTGGCAGACCTGACCGGCGGTATCACGGAGTCAGCGGTGCCCGGCGCCGAGACCACCGACGCCGCGTCACTGGCCAACCTGCTGACCACCACCAGTGTGGTCACTGCTCACCACTTCCCTGCTGTAAGTATGAACAAAAGTCAATTTTATGTGGAAGACACCTTGCTTCTATTCCGGTAGGGCACGGGCTGTTGGGATAGAAAAGTTTTTGCATGGCGATCATGGAGTTCGCCGCGAGGCGAGGCATTTACGTTACGGTGCGGATAAGTGTGCGCTACAGAACGGAGTTTCCTACAAAGAATACTGACCGCCTCGAGATTACGATCCATTTCCGTTGATAAGTGTGCTTCGTCCTTTGTAATTTAGGCACGTCTCTAATTCGGTGGACCAACGATCTGAGCTACATTTGACAATTCAAAACGTACCTACGATAAAATCTGTATAAGAAGGCGTTTGACAGACTATAGCTAGCGTACGGTTTGAACTGTTACGTGAATACGATTGCTTTACACAATTGCACAACTGATCAAGGTGGCGAGAAACATCTGAATTAGGCAGCGCAAACGGGTAGTTGTGTGAGAAGCCTTTGTTGAGCGGTTCTATGGTTGAAACAAACGAAATAAAAATTATTCCCCTCTTTCCTCCTTTTGTCATTACATTGCCGTCGTGACAACTAAAGTCACAACCACAGATCATAAAAACTAAATGATAGATCTCTATGGTCACCACAACCCTAGCGAGAAAATGACGCGAAGCTCAATCCGGGTGAAGCTAGCTACTACTAACTAGTACTTATTATTATTCTGTGCTACTATTACCTTCGGCCGGATAATCACTTTCCATTAGGTAACAGCACGTAAAGCTTCAGCCAAACCAACGTGCAGATCGCGTCCGGAAACCGCGCGCAACGGATAAAAAGAATTAAGGCGATTAGAGTCCTCAATGACCTTGGGCGTTTGACCTTCACGCCGCGAGCAACACCCGCGTACCCCGCACCAAAAACTCCGATTTGACACCGATCAAAAATACACGGGCATAGGTAGATACAGAATAGAAGCTCTTTCTTCATATATTACTGCCTATTATTTTAAACTTAAATTGATGAACCTTGATGTCGGTGTCATTTAACTCAGGCGTAAAGGTATTTAATAAAAATAACAAAATCCATGAACATTTTGTACGGGATAAAATTTTATTTTATTTTTCGTAAATTTTCTAATGCTTTTGTCGGTTCAGTCGTTCTCGAAATTTGAACAAACCCGACTTTATTACAAGCTTTTATTTAGCTTGCAATTTATGATGTATGTAGGTAATTACATAAAAATTGAAAAATTGGTAAATCCAATAAGTTACGGACTCTGTTGTGCTCCGAGTCCCAAAAAATTTGGATACTGATAACAAAATCACCCTGTATAAAAACAACATTGCATCACAATCACGGCATTACATAAATAACATTACCGTGACCTTGTTAACTAAGTAATGAAGTTTTGGGGGGACATCTAAAATTATAAACATCAGTCACCCGACAACCGAGTAAACCCAAGAGAAGGGGGATGAGGCAGACGAAATAATTGATTTTTTACCTTTCCGATGTGCGGCGTACGGGAGTAAAAGATCTGTCACTATTACCTGTGCTATTACCCTGATAGTTTTGTCAAATAGTTATCATGATTAAAATTTATATCGTCATACATTTTTTACACACACATTTTGTAACGACGTAGTATACGGAAAGGAGGGACCCGTAAGAAGTGGGTAAACAATAATTAAAATTCTTAAACAACAATGTGATAGTCAAACCAATTAGGTAAGAGTTCATTCCCATCTCTCGTTCCCACCGCTGGAACGCCTGCAACTCATGTGTAAGCTACAGCTTGACCGCCAATAAAAACCCAACCGGTGAAAGTCAATTACATTCAACCAATTACCTACCTTTAATTATTAAATTTAGGTACCTACTTACCTACGTATAAGTCTTTAAACTTAGGTCGGCCGTTTGGTTAGTGGTTCGAAACGGACTACTAGTCCGGAGGTTGCGGGTTCGATTCCCGCACAGTACAAACATTTGTGTGCATGAACATATTTGTTTGTATTGGACTGGGTGTTTTCTATGTATGTATGTATTTACAAAAAAAAGTATTTAAATATGTTTATATCCGTTGTCTAATACCCATACTTAGTACAAAGCTTTGCTTAGTTTGGGACTAGAAGCGCAGTGTAAAATGTCCAAGGATATTTATTTATTTATTTAACTTACTGATTTCCTACTCGTATAACCAATTTGCTTACTTAACCTATTATAAAGTTCGTACAAGTACTTATATTAAAAATGTTGAAAAATAGTTAAAAATTGTACCTATTATTACCTCAGATCATAGAAGGGTCTCTTTCTAGGTCTCTTTCTATGATCTGAGATTATTACATTTCAACTAAAACCGTAGTCAGCCTGTACTTATATAGCAATGGCGACATACACATAATCTGGGGATGCTAACATAAAGTTAACACTCACGTAGGGGAGATTTTGAAGGGTGCTCCCGTGCTCCCCTCGAATGGGAGCCACGGTCATGGTCAAGGAGAGTCAAGGACACTCTCCTGATGATGTTTTATAACAACAGAAATATAATATTAAGATGCATTTTCAAATTGAAAATGGCTCTATTTGATACTTTATCTTACGTACTAGAAAGCGCAGCGTAGAACGTCCAACCACAAGGTGGATCGATGACCTCATAAAGGGAGCAAGAAGGCGCTGGATGAAAATCATTGGGGGGCCTATGTTCAGCTGTGGACGTCCTATTGCTGGAATGATGATGATGATGATGATGATGATGATGATACCTTACCTTATTATCACATAGCCGTACAGTAGGTACACGTACCTACGTAGCAAAGGAAGGATAATCTTGCTCATTAGCGCTGCAAAGAAATATAAGATTACATCGTATTTGCTCCACAACACAGTATTTGAGCCAAATGGAAAATGCATTTTTTTGGAATCGCAAGCTCAAAGAAGCCAGATTACGTGGAAATTGTTGACGCAAAGGAACGGCGCAGACGTCCTACTTTTGGCATAGGTGGTAAAGAAAAAGCACGTTATTACGATTTAGTCGGAGAAAAGGGTAATTTTTGCCAAATGCCACCTCTTTCCTGACTCTACTTTTCACAACTTCCTCAAATTTTCTTCATTTTGAAAAGTGAGTCAAGACACCCGACACAATTAAATTAATTGCGCTGTATAACGCAGTATTACAGCCAATTTAGTGCAGCCTGTGATTGGTTGGAATACAATAAGAATACAATACAAAATAAAAAATACTAAAATAAGCAAGTCTACTAAAGCTCTACTTAAGAAAACAATTAACTTCAATTAATGTGAAACTAAATTATAATATGTTTCCGTTATTTTCAGGTAATAGAAGAGAAAATAAAAGGGCTAGAGCTGGAAATGAACTACAGAATATACAACATTGAAAAGGTAAGGTATTTGCTTTCGAGTTTGAAATTTTTTAATACTTTTGGTACTACAAAACTTCATCACGCGCCCGATATTTTACAAGGCTCATTTACACTGCACGAAATTAGCCGAGTCAAGTCAAAAAAACAGTGGAGTGGGAATGAAAGATTTTTTAGATATCCGAGAAAGGCATGCTGCTGGAATAAATTAACAAATATTTCAGGTCTTACGCAGTTGTGAAAGGTGCTATTTTGCAACGAATTATAATCTCATGTGCTATGAACTGATCATAAGGCTTTTAAAAGAAAAACAAACACTATCCCGATAGATCCTGTCCATTCTATTTAGCGGCTAATGGGCGCCCACTCGTTATTAATCCTGACTAGTGTTGAAAAAATGACTAAAGCGGCTGAATTTGACTGACCGTCATTTACGGTTAAATTGGTCAAAAACGTCAAAAACAAGTCATAAACTGTCAAAAACGGTCAGTTTCGGTCAATTTGAGATCAGTAATAGTTTAGTACTTTTTAAGTTTTTTCTTAGATTTTGTGATTTATAAAAGTCTACATCTTAATTGAAATACAAGTGGTTTGTAATGATTCATTATAGTTAAACATTTTACAGTGAGTCTACAACTTCTAAATTGAAACAATAAATGTTTTGTAATTATTATTTATTGTGCTCTCTTTCTTTTCCTACGGAATTGCTCCGCACCCCGCTCACGTGCATTAATAGGTGAAAGGCAATGTCGCATCGCCGCGCACGTCAACTTTGATGACGTCTTATTCTCTCTTAATTTATTACAAAATTACGTTCCTTCATTTAATTACATATTAAATTGGGTACCTAAATAAATAAATTATTCGGTGGTAGTACAGTAATGTTGAGTCAAATTGACTGAATTTGACCGTTTTGACCGGTCATTTATGGTATTTGACCATCTTGACTGGTCAGATTCGGTCAATTTTCATCTCTAATCCTGACATTGACGTATTTTTCTCGACAAAGGCTTCTCGAGGCTTTTGATATGCCATTGTGCACTTAACCTGGGGAGATATTTAATATCAGGTTCCACCTAAATGTGTGAATAGACCATTGTTATGAAGACCTCACTCGACCGTCAGGGCACGCGGGCGCCAGGTGTGAGGCGCCAGTAAGTCGAAGTACATACCTTAAGGTAGCTTTCTGTCTTTATACTACGAATCGAACCAAATGAAAGAGTATTGAATCGATTAATCGATTTTGTCGGCCGTTTGGTGTAGTGGTTCTAAAACGGACTACTATGCCGCGAGGTCCCGGGTTCGATTCCCGGCCGGGCAGAAATTGAAATGATGAATTTTAATTTCTGTGACGGGTCTGGTCGTGACTATGTATAATATTTATGTATTTAAAAAAAAGTATATAAGTAGTATATCCGTTAAGCTAGCACCCATAACACAAGCATTAAGTTGCTTACTTTGGGACTAGCTGGCGCTGTGAGAAATTGTCCAAAGATTTATTTATTTATTTATTTATGTCACCCCTCCCGCGCCGCTCCCATACCCCAGGCACTGGCTGAGTTAAGCGCTAACTAAACCAATGTACAGTCACGGAATGAAAAGGTTCGTCAGTTTTCAAATTGATTCCTTCAACGAATCGCGAGCACATACCTATTACCTTTTGAAACTATGTTACAGAATAATCTCGAGTTAGAGAAAATAATCTTTAACTGTTCGTCAGTAAAGTTCAAAATTATTCAGATCAAAGTTGTTTGACGATTTATCTTGTCAAGAAGATTATGATTGATAAACTAAAAAACCTTCTTTTTGGTTCAACCTGCCATTATTATTTCTTTTAAATAAAAAAAACTATTGTCAATTGGTCAATGTCATCATTGCATTGCACTGATGGGATAGAAAAATAAACAAGCAGGTGTGGGTCTAGACAAAGTGCAAATTATAATCGCAAACCAGTCGAAAAGTGGTCGAAAAGCCCCTTTTTTGTATGGAGTTTTGACGGATTCGATTTTCTATTCGATCAAAAAGTGCGTTTTGTCTAGGGGGGCTTATTCGTTAGCAAACGTCATATTTATTTAAATGTTAGCAGCACTGTTTCTTGCACTGTTATGTTGGCAGGTTTGACTCTTACAGTACCTAGTGCAAGCGAAAACCGACACTAAGGTGACGAACCTTTTCATTCCGCGACTGTACATAATTGAAAAAATATTTTCCTGCATAGCAACCTGTCCATGTCCATGGGAGGGCTCTCCTGTATGGGGCGACCAACTCTCTGGAACATTCCGGAATAATAGGTCAAATATCCAGGTACCTAGTCTAGTTTTTAATTTTGGGTTAGATTTGGACTAATAAATCTGAGAGGGGTCCATGTTCAGTCGAATCGGGCCTCAAAAGCGCCACCAAACCACGCGTAGAATAAAAAAAACGTTTAAATAAAAAGGATTTATGCTGTGCAAATTATAAGTAATCGTTAAAATAGAGAACTTCGGACGGAATTCTAAAAAACAAAAACCGCAGATTAAAAATTGAATTCCGAACACACTTACCTACGTCATCCTATTTAAAAACGAACCCAACGTTCTTTCATTCTGTGACTCGTCCGGAGGGGTTAGTAGTAGTTTCGCACGATTTTCCTTCGCACGAATGTCCGAAACGTCCCCTTTCAATAATATTTTTTATTGTAGGCGTTTCGCCCGGATGTATCAAAAGTATTAAAAACGGGTGCGAATCGACCCTTTTGAGAACTAGTAATCGCATACTACTAGTTCAATTCGCACGTGATTTAAGGCGATTAGTGTCCTCAATCCGCGCTAAATGGGCATTTTGTAAAGCCTACTCCTCTTTTACTGCTGGACAGAAATAGTTGAAAAAAATATATGTTATACAATAGTTCAAGGACTACATTTGTGACGTTTGAATTTTCGCTACGTCTCTTTGTTTTGGATTAAAAAAATAAATACGGGACATCGATTTTTTACTNAGAACGCGGTTGTAATGGCAGCCGTGGCACACACCGAGGCACTCGTCGCGGCCGAAGTGCCGCTGGAGGGCCGCGCGCACCAGGCCCCCGCGGAAGCGGTGCGACGCTTGCAACGTTTCCGACGACGGTTTCTCCACGACGCCGGCGACTGGCGTGACGGCGCGTGCCTCCACTGAGTGAAAAATTCCAAGTTATTGCTTGAGTCATAACGAGACGCATTACTGTGCGTTAAAGAAATTCTATTCAAGATAATTTTGCGTGGAGGTTACATCCTATTAATATGGAGAAGACGCTACAAGCGAATAGATGTGTTAACCGAAAACCCGTCGAGGTGAAACTACTACAACGAGACATACTACGTCTGTTAAGAGCCACCACACCAGTTGCTACTCGGTACGACAACTGGCTGCTACGAGTCTACTAAGTCACTACGACTGTGCAGAACGCACACAAAATAATTATTCTATGGGGTACGCCGTAGCAGACGATCCACCAGCTACGCGTCTACGAGTCACTACGACAGCACACTGTTGCTACACGACTACGAGTTACAAACTCCGAACACTGAAGTACGCCGTAGCGAACACTACGACTGCACGATACTGCTACACGACAACGAGTTACAGACTCCGAACGCCGTAGCGGGTACTAAAGGTTCGGACAAACCAACGCGATCACAGCGCGATCAACCGGCGTGCAGCGATGGCGATCAATGCATTTAGGTCTGGTCGCCATCGCTGCACGCCGGCTGATCGCGCTGTGATCGCGTTGGTTTGTCCGAACCCTAAGACGTAGCTGGTCCATTAGCTACCATCACTACGCGTCTACGAGTCACTACGACTGCACGATGTTGCTACACGACTACGAGTTCTCCGAACACCGCGGCACCGTAAGGGGACTACGAGTTAAAGACTCCGAACACCGTAAAGGGGACTACGACGTAGCTGGTCCATAAGCTACGATCGCTACGCGTCTACGAGTCACTACTACTGCACGATGCTGCAACACGACTACGAGTTACAGACTCCGAATGCCGTAGCGGGTACTACGACGTAGCTGGTCCATCGGCTACGATTGCTACGCGTCTACGAGTCGCTACGACTGCACGATGCTGCTACACGACTACGAGTCAGTTACAGACTCCGAACATTGAGGTACGCCGTAGCAAAACACTACGACGTAGAAGCTTCATCAGCTACGATCGCTTTCGCTACGCGTCTACTATGGAGTCGTAGTAGTTCTAGTCGCATGACGTTTTCTGGGGTCCATATTGGCTCACCTAAAGTTATTTACCCGAAATTGTTCTTCCTAACGATTTTAAATCCGAATGATCACTCTTCCTAAAATTTTTCATCCTAAAGTTTTCATTCATACTATTTGTAGTGCTACCGGCGATGTTCATAACACTCATGTTTCCGAAAATTGTAATCAATAATATCATTTATGTAAATATATTTAAACTCCTACTGTTTTTTATCATAACACTTTTATCCCTAAACATTACCATAATATTTTCACTCATACCATAGAATAATAATAAATACTACGTACAGAAGTACGTTCTTCGCGAATGAAACGTAAGGCCACAGTTCTAACCTAACCTAAACCAATAATAATGAATAGACCGATTCGTTTCTGGAACTTGACTGAATGACTGGAGCGGGACTCTGGCTTCGCTCGCTCGGCTCGTGCGTTGTGGTCACAGTTCTAACCTAACCTAAACCAATAATTATGAATAGGTGTAGTGCGTGTGCGGGCGCAGGCCGGTGACGTTGTAGGCGGCGGCGCGCGTGTGGTGCGTGCGCAGCGCGTGCGGCGCGGCCAGGTACTGCAGCTCGTAGTCGCGTCGCTAGCCGCGGGCGCTGACGTCACTCACCACGACGGTGAAGGTGTAGTGCGTGTGCGGGCGCAGGCCGGTGACGTTGTAGGCGGCGGCGCGCGTGTGGTGCGTGCGCAGCGCGTGCGGCGCGGCCAGGTACTGCAGCTCGTAGTCGCGCACGTCGCCGGCCGGCGCGCCCCACGCCAGCCCCACCGCGCGCGCTGACACCCACGTCGCGTTCAGCCACGGGATCGGCCGTGGGACTGCAAACACAGATACGCATCCGTCACGACCGTTACGATCGATAAAAACTCAGACGAAACATAAAAAACACCCAAAATATTGTTACTTGTTAGGACATTTGTTTACCTATATTCTCAATTGTTCCCAAATTGAGTATCTTTAAAGTCAGGATATAAGAGGTTTCGTTAAAAAGAAACAATGTACAAAAATACATTAAATATCTAAATACCAATTTAAAGCTTACTGTAAGAACGAGTAACGGTGTTATTCGTTTCGGAGTGACAGGTTGGAAACAGGCGATATTACAAATAAAAAAATACATCTAATGCAAAAATGCAGCGCAACGCTGCAGCACGTAGCACCGTAGCAGTGGCACTCACACAGGCGCGCCTGGCGCTGCACGGGGTGCGAGGTGACGTTGTGCGAGACGGTCCACATGGTGACGTTGTAGAGGCGGCCCGGCACCAGCCCCGCGAACACCACCTGCCGCGGCGCCGCGCCCGCCCCGCGCTCCACCGTGCGCGTGTCCCCCGCCCCGCCTGCCCCACCCCCGCCCGCGTCGCCGTCCAGCCGGAACCGGTACGAGTCGAACTGCGACGCCGACTCGGGCGTCGGCGTGTACGTCACTTTCTGCGAACACGTGCGACACTTACACTGACAGGATTAAGGAGTGTATTACGATTTGAACGAGGAAAGGGTGAATAATACAGGGTGGAATTTTGTAATGCCACCTGGAGGGAAAGTACTCTTAATACTGTAGATAGAAAAGTTTACTGAAAGAAAACATTACTTTATTTTTGAAAAGAAAGAAAACTGCATTCATAGATTTTCGATCATTTTTCGAAAATTCACTACCATACCATACAATTTTCTGTAAATAATTAAGATATGGTTTTCCTTTCATTTGATTTATCAAGTTTGTTAGAGAGATTTCATCCTTATACTTAACCCTAACGATCAATGCAATAAAAATACAGGGTGTAATTTTTAACAGATTTTAGTTGGTTCGATTCCCGGGTGTAGCAAGCAAAATTTTGGAAATCTTTGAATGCAGATCTATTTCTTGTCAAAAATAAAGGAATGTTTGCTTTGAGAATTTTTTTCTGTCTACAATATTAAGAGTACTTTCCCTCCAGGTGGCATTACAAAATTCCATCCTGTATACTTGAAATTTTGGAATGCAAAGAAATAAATAAAAAAAAAATACGTACAAGAACCGCAGGCGTGTTATCTTCGTCTCCCTCGCCCGCGTCAGATTCAGTTACGATGGTCATTTCCGATTGAATCAACGGACCTGCACATAAAGGTTTATGTTAACCGCCCGCCCACAAGTTTACGATTGGCGGCCCGGGCCCGTACTCACTAGAGATGGGTTATACTAGGTAAATTTGATACTAGGTGCACCTATTCCTAGTATTTATTAATACTCGATCCAAATACCTATTCCACCTAGTATGTAGTAATTTAGCATACTTGACGCGACTAGTGCGGACTAATCCACGTAATATGACTTTAAAATACGATTTTTTTTTAAAGATACAACCGTAGTATGAAAAATGCAATTTGAAATTGAATAATAATTCCTCCCTTCATACTTCAATAGGCTTTGGACTGTCAACTTAAAAGTTGGCGTATTTAAAAGATATCAATTTCATAAAAATATTTACATATTTTTTCTTATTTACATGAATATGGTTTGACTACGTTTGCGTGCGTTTGCTTCGTCGCGCTCAAATTTGTTCGGTCAGACAGAGACGGAGTGAATCTCTACGTTCGCACATAAGCTTAGCGAGAAATACTAGGTGCGCGTAATACCCGACTACGGATTACGCAATAATAACCTCTATTACTTTGACGGTAGGGTCGGAAATCGTGTAATTTATAAAATACTAGGTGGATCAAGTATTTAAAAAATTGGAACAGGTGCCGCCTAGTACTGTAAAATACCTAGTGCGTGGATCTGTTCTAGTAAATACGTGTCATCTGTAGTACTCACGCGTGCGCGTCTCCATGGTGAAGAGGTCGGAGGCGAGGCGGTGCGAGTGCGCGGCGATGGTGACGGTGTAGGCGCGGCCCGGCCGCAGCCCGTCCACCAGCGCGCGCGCCGAGCGCTGCCCGCCCGCCGCCGACACGTTGCGCGCGCCCTCCTCCCTGCGCCAAGAGAATACAATACAATACCTTTATTCAGCATTGACCTTGAGCCTTCTTATGAGGCCAATAGTAAGCGACCACGTCTCAGAGTCATACACCATCACTGGCAACACACACTGGTCAAATACTTTTGACTTGAGACACTGCGGTATTTCGGACGTGAGAATTTCGCGAAGCTTCCCGAACGCTCTGCCCAGCCGAGTTGGATTCGACGATTAACCTCTTTCTCGAAGTTGGACCTACCTAACTGGACTGTTTGTCCTAGGTATACATAATTGTCAACAACTTCGAGTGTAGTGTCTCCAACCTTCAGAGGAGTGGGTACAACACGGGCATTAGCATTAACATTTATATGCATACATGTACAGAGGTTAAATTACTGAGCCATGCTGAAAAGGCGCCCGCTCAGCGAAAACGTGACATGACACAAGTCGTCAAGTCACGAAGCTGGTTTTCAGCGGGTACCAACATGGGGGTTACTATTCTACGCCAGTTATGCGTCCTTTTGACAGTGACGGTTCATCGATAAAATTCGTGTCGATTCGTAACACTTCCTGTAGACCTAAGATGCGCGCCGCGATAAGCGGTTATCACGCCATTTTATCGATTTTGCCCATACATTTTGACGTCGATAAAAGTTATCACGGCTCGCATCTTAGGCCTACTGGCAAAAAGGCCATATCATATTGAAATCATACCATATTGCGTTACGTAATCCTACTAATATTATAAAGGAGAAAGTTTGTGCGAATGGTTGTTACTCTTTCACGCAAAAACTACTGAACGGATTCGGTTGAAACTTTACAGTATTATTATTCGTAACCCAGATTAACATATAAGCTATAATTTATGCCAATCTGTGAGACTAAATTTCACGCGGGTGAAGCCGCGGGCAAAAGCTAGTAAATAATAATGATCAAAACAGGCAAAAAACTACAGAACGGATTTTGATGAAACTTTACAGTATTATTGTTTATAACCCAGAATAACATATAGGCTATAATTTGTGACGATCTGTAACAAACTAAACTTAACGCGGGTGAAACCGTGGGCAAAAGCTAGTTGATTAATAAATCGAAGCGTGTTTTGGATCTGAATCGGAGCGCTCACCGGTCCTCGCCGGGGGCGGCGTCGGAGCGCCACCAGCGCAGCTCGTAGCGCTCCACGCGGCCCTGCGGGCGCGGCCACTCCAGCGTCATGTTGCGCGTGTCCACCAGCTGCGCCACGTTCGACACCGGGCTGGGGCCTGCACCACGTAGTGTTATACCATCGTTAAAATATATCATTCACATCGCTAACAGCGGGCGGCGTGTACTAAGGGAAATAAATAATAAAAAAAAGAATGTCCATAGCAAAAAAAAGCTGGTGAAGAATATACTGAATTTTCTGTGATAGTCAAGATATAGAGTTAAAGTTAAAATGTGTTTATTCCTCTTCATGAATGACACGAACAAGATAAAGTTTTCAGTGTTAGCAAAAGGTGTACTCACGCACGACGTGGTGCGTCTCGAGCGGGCGGCCGCTGGGCACGCTGTCGTCGCCGGCGGCGTCGCTGAGCGTGTCCAGGCGCACCACGTAGTCCTCGCCCGGCGCCAGCCCGGCCAGCTCGGCGCTGCCGGCGGTGGCGGGCAGCGGCGCCAGCGCCTGCCAGGCGGCGGCGTCGGCGGCGCGGTACTGCAGCAGGAAGGCGCCCAGCGCGCCGCCCGCCGGGCCCTCCCAACGCGCCCGCAGCGCGTTGGACGACGCGCGCTCCACGTGCAGCGATGCGGGCGGCAGCGGGCCTGCGGAAGGCGGACGTTACAGACGCAGGGTGGAAAAAAAACATGATTTATTTATTTTAATCAAAAAAATCACGATTTTTTTTATTTATTTGATTTTTACGATTTTTATTACGTTTTGCGATCATTTCTTTAATTTTTCTTACGGAAAACATTTTTATTTACGTAGAATTGATGTATAGAGCTGGCAACACCACCAAAAAAAATAAATTGTGTGGTTATCTAAAAAATCGCAAACATGTTTGTACGGAAAAAATATTTTTTTCTGATTCTCTATTCAAAACATCAATTTCATACATTAACACCTATTATTTAACATTGTTTTCGAACATTACAGTTGATTAATATAAACTCCCAGCCTTTCATTAATTCCATTTTTGGCATTTGATTTAAATCCGTGATTTTTATTAAAAAAATCATGCAATATAAATCGTGATTTAAATCATGATTTAAATCAAGCAACCCTGTAGAGACGTGTCGGTCCGGACGATGACGACTCGGAACCGGGACGGGGCGGCACTCACGGACGGGCTTGAGGAGCGTGTGCCACTCGCTGCGCAGCCCGTGGCTGACGGCCGCCACCTGCACCTCGTACACGGCGCCCGGCGTCAGCTGCTCCAGCGTCGCGTTCGTCTCCGTGGTCTCCAGCTGCGGGCGAAGCGTCCAGTCAGCGTTGGTCTTCAGTGTGTATTTATTTTTTTATTTTATTTTATTTATTTATTAGGTACACCAACAAAGTCACATACAATACAGTTCATACATTTTTATTTATTTATTTATTTTATTCGGAAAGCCAACAGCAATACAATACAAATAATGGGACCTTAAATTATGTATCTGCTTAGCCATTTATAGGTAATCGCAAATGGAAGTTAAGATGCAAATAGACCGACATTTATAGAATTAACAAATGAAAACTTAACAGTCAACAGTAATTTTTAAGCGCCGCTGGAGTGGGAGTCGAAAAAGTTTGAATTGAATAATTTATTTATAGTAGTGGGTTTCGTTCGAAACAATTCTAGATCACTATAATTTTTTGATATATCGTCAAAGCATTTACTCGCACGAGTAAAAAAAGAGTTGAGGCGATAATTTGTGTTAGCTTTGGGAATCGCTAGCGGTCGAGTACGTGTTACTGGTAGTTTTCTTGGAACCCAGATATCTATGCCCAGAAAGGTACGCGGTGCATCGTGACAGCGGGGCGTACTGACCGTGCGGTAGTCGGCGGCGGCGAGCGGGCGCGGGCGCGGGCGCGGGCGCGCGGCCCAGCGCAGGCGGTAGGCGTCCTGGCGCGAGTTGACGTCGGAGCGCCAGGCGAGGCGCAGGCGCGTGTCCTCGGGCTCCGCCGACACCACCACGGGCGCCAGCGGCCGCGTCGTCACGCTCACCGAGCTCTCGTTCGACTCCACGCCGTGCGACACCGCCGCCACCTGGAAGCGAAGGAGCCCAGTGCATTAGTTATAATCTTGACTTCGGACCCGTTTGGACCTACGGCATCCAGTTGTGGGGCTCTGCAAGTGCCTCTAACATCATGATGATTCAGAGAGTGCAAAACTAAATCCTGAAACAAATATCGAATGCACCATGGTTTATAAGAACAACAGAGCTGCACGAGTTATTGAACGTGCCTATGGTGAAGCAAGAGATAGACACCCATGGAAACGGCCACAAGCTAAGACTGTCAAAGCACCCGAACCGGTTGGCTGGGCAGCTCACTATCCCAGAAACCATACGGCGGCTTAAGAAGCGGCGGGATATCTTCGACAATGAATTAGTCTGAAAATAAACCTGAGATTATAATAATAATAATAATAAATTTTTATTTCCAGAAAAATGCACTTTAGTTACATAGGCTTACAAAGTAGTTATACTAATAGGAATTCAGGTGACTTACTAGTAGTAATTAAGAAAAATAAAGTCCTGTTTCCGCTGGGAGCAGTGCTCTAAATGACGAAAAGAATCCACCCCATCTGCTTATAGTTTTTGAGGAGTGGTCGCATGATTAAACCATAAGACAAAAAACAAAAAGTTATAATCTTGAGGCACCGACGATCGAGCCGTCGGCCGGGCGCGCACGTACGGTGATGGTGTAGTTGCGGCCGGGCAGCAGCGCGTCCAGCGTGACGTTGGCGGCGGGCGCGGCCAGCGAGGAGCTGTCGTCGCGCGAGGGCCCGGCCTCGTGGTAGGACACGCGGAACTCGTCCTGCGCGCTGCCCGGCGCCGCCGCCCACCACAGCCGCACGCCCTCGCCGCCCTCCACGCGCCGCCAGCCCACGTCCACCACCGGCAGCGGCTCTGCGGGGGAGGCACACTTGAGCGCGCGTTCCACGAAGTAGAGATGGGTTATACTAGGTAAATTTGATACTAGGTGCACCTATTCCTAGTATTTATTAATACTCGATCCAAATACCTATTCCACCTAGTACGTAGTAATTTAGCATACTTGACGCGACTAGTGCGGACTAATCCACGTAATATGACTTTAAAATACATTTTTTTTAAAAGATACAACCGTAGTATGAATAATGCAATTTGAAATTGAATAATAATTCCCCTCTTCATACTTCAACAGGCTTAGGACTGTCAACTTAAAAGTTGGCGTATTTAAAAGATATCAATTTCATAAAAATATTTACATATTTTTTCTTATTTACATGAATATGGTTTGACTACGTTTGTGTGCGTTTGCTTCGTCGCGCTCAAATTTGTTGGTAATATTTTGGTGTTATACATAGATTTCGAATATAAAAAATATATAATTTAACTAATTAAGACATGACGAAAAAACTGAGGTATGTCTCGTTTCTGTCGGGCCTGGGTTTTTTTTGTATGGGGCGTGACCGTTCTTCTTTAAAGGGATGGGTTCGTTGGGCCGTTTGGTTGGTACTAATTAAAATACTTAATTAAAGATAGAGCAGTCTGCCCATCATATCTTGTGGGAGTGTGATCTTTGGAAACATTAACGTGATATAATGCTTAATTCAATACAACATACATCTGTTTCCGCAATTTATTATACCGATATTGTCGCGACAAGGAAAAATTTCCGTGCTTTTAAGCGAGTTTGTGAAAAATATTATTGGCAGGTAGTTGCTAATTGCTCATAAGATAGGCCCCCTTAATTTAATTTATTGTCCGTGGTGCATAATCTTTTCTTAAAGGTTTTAAACCTTTGTTTGTCACCTGTCATCCGCTTTGCAATGGAGGGAAGTCGAACCTTAATTTCGAACTCCTCCTATGTTCTTCTGATTAATTTCGTTGCGGGTCCAATGACAGTTTCACTTTCCCCCGGGACAAACTTGACCTTCATTGGTTGGGTTTTTGTGGCGGTCAAGCTGTAGATCCTGGCTACACAGGAGTTGCAGCGGTGGGAACGAGAGGTGGGAACAGTCCCGACTGAAGCCGAACGAGACGCGAGGGCACGGCGAGAGACACACTCGGACACCGACCTCTCCTCGAGCGGCGGCAGCCAGACGACGCGGAAGGCGGTCTCGGAGCGCGCGGCGGGCGGCACGGTGACGTTGCGCGGCCGCAGCGGCACGGTGCGGTACTGCGCCGTGGTGGGCGCGGAGATCTCGGGCTCGGACACGGTCTGCACGCTGATGTTGTAGGCGCGGCCCGGCACCAGCCCCTTGAAGGCGGCCTGCGCGGGCCCCGGCGGCTCGCCCTCCTTCTCCACGTACTGCTCGCTGTCGCGCGCGTCCGGCGGCACGATGGACACCTGCGCACAAATCAAAGTCAAAGTGAAAATTTCTTTATTTGTTTAGACTAATAAATAGTTCTTACGAATCGTCATTTTGCTCTTAAGGAACCTCTACATGTCTCATAATCCTTTTACCCTACCAGCGCTTCGAGACCAACAAGCATACATCTCTCAGGGAGGACCCCCAATATTATAATCGCAACACAGACTGCCACTTTTTATGGAATTCCCTTATATCTTTCTGTGCAGATTACAATATCGGGAGACTAACTTTTAGTAATCAGTGTTATCGATCAGCACGAATAAGATCGAAGTAGTTGCTTAAAAGATTTTCGTAGGTATTGATAACTCGGATGGATACATTAGAAAATACGAACATGCCATTATGTCAGGGAGAAATCGTTATATAGAAGTAGAAACTGTACAAACATACATTATGAACACAATATAATAATTCATAAAGTTATTACTACGAGTTACGTAAGAGTTATAAACGTGTAACATACAGCACGATGACAAGCGTAAGCAACACTCACGACCGCGCCACGAGCCTCTGTCCGAGGGCATGAAGTGGAACTAGTTTACTAGTAGTATAGAGAAAGAGAATCAAAGACACATTGTATGAATATTGGGGTCAAAAAGCGAATACAGACTTCACCGGGCATCTGGCATCCTGACAAGGGTGACCGGCAAGTGGCAAACTAGTTCCCCGTGCAAGCGCGGACAGAGGCGGCGGGGCGGGCGGGGCGCGCGGGGCGGGGCACTGACCTTGTAGTGTGTGTAGGCGCCGGGCGGGTAGGGCGGCTGCCACAGCACCAGCAGCGTGGTCTCGTTGCGGAACCACACGATGAACTTGCCCGGCGTGTTGGGCCCTGCGCACGCGCACACGTCACACACGACACATGCTAACACCGGTCATATGACACCATCGATCGACTGGTACATTTTATTAATTGACAAAAAGCTTTTTAATTTTCTCAATACGTATTTTCTACTGTATCAAATTGAATCGATTGCGCATGATGTCATGTACCGAACACATTTTTAAGCGCGTAGAAATCAGACGTTCATTATTTTGTCTAAATGTATTTTAAAAAAACTAAGAAGCTTAATTATTTTGGACGTGAAATTTCTACGCTGAAAATCTAAGGACGATAGAATGAAAGAAAAATAACTGAATTGATTTGAATCAAAATAAAATCTTCCTGTAAAGGACATTGGGAACTTTAGTATGAGAAAATGCCCCACAGCGGACAAAGATGAAACGTATTTTATTTCAAAGCTTTATACTTGTAGGTATATTCACTTAAAGCGCTACGTTGTGAGATATGGGAATTCTGAGATAATATGACGAGTCTAAGTTGAAAATATATTTGTCTAAAATGATTTGATATTTTTACATGTTATGTTGTTTGGCATTGCAGAGTAACCAATAAAAGTAAATAAAATAATATAAATAAATAAAAAATATAAACAAAATAATATAAATAAATAAAATATTATAAATACTTAAATTAATATTAGACAACATCTCGTATATTACTCCAACCCAAAATAAGTAGCTAAGGCATTTGTGTTATGGAAATCGGGAACGACGAACCACAACACACCCAAACCAGAGACAATGTGAAAGGATCGTTTTCTATATTGTCCCGACCGGGAATCGAACCCGGGATCTCAGGATTGGCCCGGCACACCTTGAAAACCGGTGTGTGCGCCTCTCCGCCACGGAGGTCGTCAAAAATGTTACCTAAATGTAAAATAAAATAAAATATTAAAACTTCATTTTCTCAATATTCCCATATAAGAGAGAAAAAAAAATGCACGGAAATTCATTGGATATTAGTATGCATCATCTGTGATAGGTTTCGTTTGTGTCCGCTACTTTTCGAAAAGTGGGGCAAAAAGTTCCCAATGTCATTTAATTTAAGTAAATGACGAGCTCAGTCTTTGCGCTCACTAGTTGGCGCCACTGGCGAGCTTACTCCACAGTGGCGCCAATTGGCGAACGCGGCGGTGGATGGACGCGCACATACAGTGGCCCTCATTGACATGCACGCGCTATGTATAGTGATGCGACCTCACGGTCTCATCTCGAGGACGCTCCACTGTTACATAGCTAGCAGAACAGTGTAACGTCTCTAACGAGCAATGTTGTGGTAAAATGCTATTCACGTGCATTAATTGTCAAATAAAACATACAATTTATGATAAGCATGAAACAAGAGATAAAATGAATCTTTAATTAATAATATTTATTGCAGACAAATAAATTAAAAAAAATCTATGAAGTAACTTATATCGAACATAATAATTAGGTTTTTTGTAATTTAAACGCATTTACAGCAAGGTTTTTATTTATCAAGAACTTCTAACAATCGCGAAAAATTAAGTAAATATCTGAACCAAAGCAATAACCACTAATTGGACTCGATTAAGAAATTAACGAGGTGTGGAGTTGAAATAATTAGAAGTTTTAACTACTTTTATTGTTTTAGAGAATTGTAGAACAACGGTATGATTAATTATAAGCATATTAAACGAAATTGTATTGTATGAAAAACGAAAAAAAAAAAACAAATTAAAGCTAAACGATCCAAGTGATCAAGTATAGAGGATAGTTTGTAAGGATGACTTCACACTAGGCAGGCGCTGCGGCGCGCAACGGGGCGGGGCTTACACAGGCTCTCCGGATTAGCCTCAATGGTACACTCGTCAACACCACGTGTGTAGGGTCTATTTCAAGGTAATTCAAGACCAGTGTAAGTTATTAGTGTAATAAGATTCTCAAGGACATTGGCCAAGACTTGGAGCACATCAACACATAATAACAAGTCAAACAAATAATAACAACCGCTGCCGCGTTACGTCATGCACTTATTACAAATTTAATTGAATGATCNTGACAAGCTCAGTCTTTGCGCTCATTAGTTGGCGCCACTGGCGAGCTTATTCTACAGTGGCGCCAATTGGTGAACGCGGCGGTGGATGGACGCGCACATACAGTGTCCCTCATTGACATGCACGCGCTATGTATGCGACCTCACGGTCTCATCTCGAGGACGCTCCACTGTTACACAGCTAGCAGAACAGTGTAACGTCTCTAACGAGCAATGTTGTAGTAAAATGCTATTCACGTGCATTAATTGTCAAATAAAACATACAATTTATGATAAGCATGAAGCAAGAGATAAAATGAATCTTTAATGAACAATATTTATTACAGACAAATAAATAACAAAAAAAATCTATGAAGTAACTTATATAAAACGTAATTATTAGGTTTTTTGTAATTTAAACGCATTTACAGCAAGGTTTTTATTTATAAGAACTTCTAACAATCGCGAAAAATGAAGTAAATACATAGAACTGAACCAAAGCAATAACCACTAATTGGGCTCGATTAAGAAATTAACGAGGTGTGGAGTTGAAATAATTAGATGTTTTAACTACTTATATTGTTTTATAGAATTGTAGAACAACGGTATGATTAATTACAAGCATATTAAACGAAATTGTATTGTATGAATAACGAAAAAAAAAACAAATTAAAGCTAAACAATCCAAGTGATCGAGTATAGAGGATAGTTTGTAAGGATGACTTCACACTAGGCAGGCGCTGCGGCGCGCAACGAGGCGGGGCTTACACAGGCTCTCCGGATTAGCCTCAATGGTACACTCGTCAACACCACGTGTGTAGGGCCTATTTCAAGGTAATTCAAGACCAGTGTAAGTTATTAGTGTAATAAGATTCTCGAGGACATTGGCCAAGACTTGGAGCACATCAACACATAATAACAAGTCAAGCAAATAATAACAACCGCTGCTGCGTTACGTCATGCACTTATTACAAATGGAATAGGCAGTCAGTTGTAATTACGTTATCATTGTATTGGATCGCGCCGGCTGATGGATTGTCGGCTAACGACGCTACGGACAATAACAGGTAGGTATCATTTGGCTTTATTAACAGTTCGTTTGTTAAACGAAAAGAAGCAAAATTGTGCAATGCAAATAAATTAGACATGCAACTACTCTCTCACCATTCCTCTTAAGGTCCTGGGTATGGCATTAGAAAGAAACATAAAATCAAGATTATTAAACACCGAAACAGTCGAATACAAGTTTAGCGGTATCTTTTTTAATAGTGTTTTCGTTTTAACATAGCTGTACGATAACAATAGGCGGCGAGTAATAATGGACGTGACATCACGTTTTAATTCAGCATGAAGAGCAACAATGGTACGTGTGCGCTGCTGCCGAGCCCGCGAGGCTTGAGGCGACGCTATTCTGCAGCTCTACAAGATCGTTCGTCTACATATAGCCGGCGCTCATACGATGACGATATTGGAAAGACGGATAATAATAAAATACGGCAATGGCACCAGGGAGTACCGCTGAGGTCTAAGGCCGCGAGCGCTTCGCACTCACGATTGTGTGTCTCAACTATGATTAGCGCATCTTTTCGTCTCGTAAATTCTGTAGCTATTTCATTTGAACTTCGTGCTGTATCAATTTACAGTATCTTTTCTCTAAAACTATCTATACTTATAATAAATCTGTAGAGAGGTCAATTCTGTACATGAAATATATTTTCAAAATAACTATCAGGGGGTGATTAGTGATCGATACTGATGCCAAAAATGCAATCAGTAAAATTTTTGTCTGTCTGTCTGTCTGTCTGTCTGTCTGTCTGTATGTTCCTTATAGAAACAAAAACTACTCGACGGATTTTAACGAAACTTGGTACAATTATTCTTCATACTCCTGGGCAGGTTATAGGATACTTGGGAATTCCCACGGGAACGGGAATTAGCGGGAAAATCCTTTTGTATGAAAAATCTAAACCGCTTAAGCTAGACGCTTGAAATTTGGCATGGTGGTACCTTAGTAAACTTTAAGGTTAGTTACAACAGGATATTGGAAAATTCCCACGGGAACGGGAGTTAGTGGGAAAAAAACATTTGTATGAAAAAATCTAAGCCGCGTAAGATAGACTCTTGAAATTTGGCATGCAGGTACCTTAGTAAACTTAAAGCTTAGTTACAACAGGAAATTGCAAAATTACCACGGGAACGGGAGTTAGCGGGAAAAAACATTTGTATGAAAAATCTAAATCGCGTAAGATAGACTCTTGAAANAGTTTCAGCACGTATACCGTCTATTCTTCCTCAAGTGACATTAATAATAAAAAAGCGAACATCGAAAAGTCAATAGACAATAAAAAAACAAATCGTAAAAAAGTATACATATTTATAAAAAAGTGTCCACTCGTGGACACATACCGATCCCAAGGAACCGTACTTACTCATAAGAATAAGACACACACTGATGCATTTAATCATGCACTTGACAAATTTATTTCTTGAAATGTTGGTAGGGTAAAAAAAATAACGAGATTTGACGATTTGTAAGAATTAATTTATTTTAAAAAGGTCAATAAAGATGTTTTTGGTTTTGTATTTAACAAATTATCAGTTTTATCGGAATTAATTAATTTTCGAATAGAGTCACACGATTTCATTCGATGACTTTGCAAATGCAGTACGATGATACGATTACTTTTACGTTGCGGCAATCACTAAAATTCGCTAAAATGACACTAATGACGTTTAAAAAGTGGCACGCTCGGCTTCATACAATTTTTGACACATGCTGCATCTATCCATATCTGTGGTNAAATACAAAACAAAGCGAATGACAGATAACAGCTGTGACAATATTTTCAGTGTTGCCATGCTAATAATGTGGTGATGAATAAAAATAATCGATATAAAAATCGATTGTATTTTTGATGACTCGAAATAAGGTGTATAATAAGGTGTGTGTGAAATAAGGTTTTATTTAGTTATTTAAATATTTTTGGTAGTGTTATTAGAATATTAAGAAGGTTTTATAAATGTCATTTTAATGAATACGTATTTAAAAAAATAATAATTGTCATAGTCAAACAACAATCGATATGAATCGATTCTTACCGATAAGATTCATTTTGGCAACACTGAAATGAGTGTTAAAGACAGGAAGTTGTAATTATCACATAAAGTACTATTTAAATTGGATTTTTATAAAGGCAAATTGATACAAAGTTACAATAAGTGAATACTTTAAAAATTAATTAAAAATTTTTGGCAAATTCATATTTTCATTAGCAGCTTGTCCACGCCAGGCCAGAAATGAACATTGTCCTTTGGCATGCAGGTATCTTAGTAAACTTAAAGCTTAGTTACAACAGGATATTGCAAAATTCCCACGGAAACGGGAGTTAGTGGGAAAAAAACATTTGTATGAAAAAATCTAAACCGCGAAAGATAGAATCTTAAAATTTGGCATGCAGGTACCTTAGTAAACTTAAAGCTTAGTTACAACAGGATATTGCAAAATTCCCACGGGAACGGGAGTTAGCGGGAAAAAACATTTGTATGAAAAATCTAAATCGTGTAAGATAGACTCTTGAAATTTGGCATGCAGGTACCTTAGTAAACTTAAAGCTTAGTAACAACAGAATATTGCAAAATTCCCACGGGAACGGGAGTTAGCGGAAAAAAATATTTGTATGAAAAAATCTGAACCGCGTAAGATAGATGAAGGGGGGGGGGGGGAACGAGATTCACGCGTACGAAGTCGCGGGCGGCCGCTAGTATTAAATAACATTTTCCAGTGTGTGCCTATTAGGTATGTGGGGTTTCTTAGCCTAATAGGCTGCTCACAATACTCAACATCGAATCATTCAGTGGCCGTGAACTTACACGACCTTTTATGATATCCTGCTACTGGTGTGAAAACCTTGGGGCATATTGAACTTATTTATCTCTTTCATTGAAAAACCTCAAACTTAATCATCAATTAATTGACATATTTTTATTGCTGTTAATAACTTGTTCCTATCGTCGATATGTAAGGAAAAAACTATGATGTCATCTATTCGCTATCTGTGTTTTGTATCAAGTTTTCTAAAACAACATTTCACAAACTGTGTATCATGAATAATTCCATTCCAGTTGATTAATAATTATTACTTAAGACTATCATTTTCAGTTACCCAATTAAGATGACATCAAATTGTCATAATAATTTTGCGATTAAAAAATTCCAAATGTCTTGTGACTAATCCAGTAATATTCTTGATGGCAGCTTTATTGAGGATAATGTTGTACATTTTCAAAGTTCAAGGTTACTCTATGATTTTATTTCATCAAATTTTTAGATCTAATAGGCAATATTTAATTGTACTCGCGGAAAAATTGCGGTAAAAACAAATTTTTGAGTATTTATGAACGGAAGTAATTTTCTTCTTTAGAGGTGACAGGCAAGTATAAATGGGAAACGTAACCAGCATGGAACTGTCATGTTGTTATGAAAAGGGCGGAAAATTGGTAGTATCGTTAGTGACGCGGCGCGGCGGCTTCGACTCGCATTACACATCGAACTCGTCCTAATTACTTTCTAGAACGAGCGCGCGGTGCAGTTCCGCGCCTGCGCACGTCGCCGGTAACTTCTCGAGATGAAACAATTAAAATTAACAGCCGCGTCGTGACCGACGAGTCCGCCCGATTGCCGCATTTCTTTCGCTTCGCACGCCAAATAGTTAGAAATGCACATCTCTCGTGTTTTAGCTCGTAAATCACGATGCCATTTTGGCTACAAATAATGCGGATAATCATAGAGACTCCGTCTGCGTAACGCACAAACAACAACAAGGTGTATACTGACTGGTGGTGAAGTTGCGCGAGGCGTAGGCGGCGCTCTCCTTGTCGTGCAGCAGCGTGAAGGCGTGCAGCTGGTAGGTGGCGCCGGGCGACAGCTCGCGCAGCGTGTGCGTCCAGTTGCCGGCGCCTTCCACGGTGATGTTGCGCGCGCCGCCCTCCACCCGCTCCGTCAGCGGGATCACCTATATCATTCGTGCCACATAATGACGTCTGTCCTGTGTGCTTCATCATTACCCGCCGAATATGGGTAGAGGATACTCAAAAGATAGCTAGCTTGTTATTTGTCTTTGACTTCCTTGTCCGTGACATCAAAAGGACACACCGAATGTTAGATAATTCAGTCAAAAAAAGAAGACAGAGGAATCGAAAAGTATAGTTTCCCATCGTGTTGGAAAACAAACGAAACAATTTAATGGTTTACAAAAGATTGAGTCCTTAACTCTAGGCGTAGTGATTCGGAAGAAATGAATTAAAATTGCAATGAAATGAATTAGGTACATTCTAAAATATTAATATAGACAGGGTGTGAAAATTGTAAGGAAAGATTCGTTCATGTTGTGCTAAAAACTTTGAACCCCGAAAGGCCGGCGATTAGGTCACCGTTCAATGCGGACGCCGCGGTACGCGACTTGCGATATCAGTTCATTGCAGATGTGTGGGCAACCATCCAAAACTATTTTCTTAAATGACAAAACTTTACGGTTTAAATTGAATCACGTCCTATTCCGAAAAGTTAGCACAGAAATTTTACTCTTATAATTTCATTACAATCTTTTTTTAAAGTAATTATTACACAGCTAGTTTAATAGCTTTTTGCTAGCCTTTCAGACCATAAGTAATGTTATCATGCACATGCAGATTGTTTGTAGACAGAGGCGGGCAGATACCTTGAAGCGGAAGCCAGTGTAGTCTCCGTGCGCGGGCGGCGACCAAGCGATGGTGGCCTGCTTGTTGCGGCCGAGCGTCACCGTCAGGTTCGTGGGCGGCTCCGGCGCTGCAACCACACAAGTCACGAGCCTGCTCCGAGGCACTGCCCTCAGATGCCAGAGGCTCAGAGAAAGACCTTTGGCCGATCGGATCAGCGATCGGATGCGATTACATACATGCATTACTACAAGCAGGACTGTCGCACATTATAACATAGTACGAATGTAAAGGGTCTTACAATTCGTTACAACGATGTGTTGTGGTCCCTATGGAAACTCAATTAGATAAATTACGCAGATAATTCGCGCATTAAATTCTTCCAAATTTGATTAGTCATTTGACAATGTATTTTAATTGATTAATCTAATAGTGCATATTGTATTGATTATAATAATTATTTTACTATATTGTTATTAATGGAAAATGCTTCACTTAGTTTCCCAAAGTATTCAGTTTCATAAAAATGACAAAATGATTTCTTTTTGGAGAAAATTTCACAGAATTTTCATGAACAGACTACCGTATTTGTCGCATACCAGTGATGATGGTCTGGTTCCAGGTGAGCAGGTCCGCGAAGGTGGCGTTGGAGTAGTAGAGCATGAAGTGGTACTTGGTGCCGGGCAGGCCCTGGAAGTTGATGGTGGAGGCGCGCGCGGGCACGGTGTAGTTGGGCGCCGGCGAGCCCTGCGCCGGCCGGTAGTCCAGCCGGTAGCGGCCCGCCGGCGGCTCCGCGCCGTCCGCCAGCCCCGAGCCCGGGATCTCGATGACCAGGTCCGCGCCGGCGCCGCCGCGCCACGAGCCCTGCCGCGCGTACCAAACGCGTATTAAAAGCCCTTGCGGTGAACATGTGCTGATTGTTATGCCACAAAAAAGTTGTATGGAAAACCGATCAGAGAAAGGATGAAAAACTTCATTCATGGAACATGAATAATGAAAGGACAGTAAAAATGCACTTCAGGCAATGACAAATACTGAATGGGATCTGAAAACTCACAAATCATGGTCTATGACAGATCAAAAATTATTATTAATGTCATTTGCAGGAATCGGATATGCAATTGACTAAATACAATTTGCACTGATTTGTCTTATAACTTTATCTTTTGTACACAATAGGACAAAAGATGAGCCTTCTAGGCAGAACAAGAAGTATTATCTGTTCGTTTGTTTCAGCCAAATGACGTCCACTGCTGGACTGTAGTACAAATAAGTGATTAAGGGATATAAATGAAATGAATCTTCAAAAATGATTTAAAATAATGAATAAAATTATTGTGGATTAATCATTCACAAAAAATTGTATTGCTAATGAACTACTTAGGTCTTCAGTCAAACCAACGCGATCACATGCAATCAGCTGGTGTGCAGCGATGGTGATCAATGTATTTAAGTCTGAGTATGCAAACCGGCTGATTGTGTGTGATTGCGTTGGTTAGGCTGATCCTTAAATCTGTCCTGGTTTTAAGGTACTAGTACTATCATAGATAATGACATTATTAATTTGATCAAATGGATAAATTAAACAGTAATTAATCGAACTTTTGACATAGAATAGATAGATGGTATGGCATGTAAATCACGCAAGCACGTAGGTGTGTAATATACACTTAACACTTCTTATTTAGTTTAATAATTATTGGTTTAGTAATGTTTATTAGTTGTGTTACTAATTAAAACATTTTACTTTCCTTTTTAAAAAAAAATATTACCTACTAGCGGCCGCCCGCAAGACAGACAAAGAAAAGAGGAACAAATTCCATGCGCGATACAAGCTTTCGAAATTATTTGAACCTTGCATAGAATTATTTTTTTCGTTTTAGTACAACTGCATTTCAGAATAAAGCTTGTTTTTAAAAAAGTTTTTTTTTTATTATAATAGATTAACTTAAATGACTCACAGAAACTTGAATTTGAAAGAACCCAGAATATTCATTTGGTCACAAAAGAGTGACCTGACTCTTTTGTTTACTAACTAATACTTGCAACCGATTCTACCATAGTTGGAATATCACTCCTCAATCAGAATTCTACTTCAATTACATTATAAAGTTAAGGTGGATTAGCATTTGACAAGCATGTTCCTAGTCACTGTCCTTGAATATATTTTTTTATGGGTAGTTTTATGAAAGCCAAATGAGGAAATATTGAACAGGCATGTATATCACATAAGTTGAGCCATGTGCCTGTAGCCACGAGGTAAGAGCTTACGAGAAAGACGACGAGCCCCAGCGCCAGGGCCGCGGTGGCGCGCGCGCAGCCTGCCTTCGCTTGCACAATCGTCCCCTTCCACATCATTGAAGGCGACTCTCGGATTTCACACGACACTTTCTCTCTTATATCCTCGACATTTTTATGTCCAACAACCATTGTAGACTCTTTTCTTGAATCGTAGTCATCACATTGTTATAAACTTAACATTTAATTTATCACAAACACACGATTGGACAAAACATTGCGACTGCGTCTTTCGCAATTTTTCAATACTTTTGCCACTTCTTCGCAATATGTCAACACAATCTAGTAACTCTGTTCCGTTGCGCTAATGTTTATTTCATCGTCATAGTCGTTGTCATTAACACACCTTAGAAAAGTGATTTAATTTAACAACCTTTTGCGTTAGTTAAAGATAGCACGATTTTTGTAATGAACGGAACACTCCTTTGTCAAAGATGTCAAACAGTTACAAAAAACGTTCCAATTGACACAGAGTGTACTCTGTGATCTACAACAAGCTAATTTAGTTATTCGTTGGCTTGACTTGATAAGACAAAATTAAAAAAAAAATTGACATTTCTTTGATTGGCGTCCCCGGCTGTCGAGAAACCGCGTCCCGCGCATCGGAAAACCTTAGAAAAAACAATAAATACAGTCGGTTGGAGTTACTTTACAATAATTTGCTGTTCTAGTTTGGTACTTTGTTTAAATAGTTATGGTCATCAACACCATTCAACTCGCTAGGGTCTAAGAATAAGTGGTTTATAAAGCGCAGTGTTTTGAAATAACCAAACTAAAAATGATCGGAAACGATGCATCAAAATGGACTCCGGAAGACACCATCAGGGTTTTGATAGCTTCCGATATCCACCTGGGTCACCTAGAAAACGATCCAGTGAGAGGCGAAGACAGCTTCATCGCGTTCGAGGAGGTGCTGTCGCACGCCGTGGAGTACGACGTGGACCTGGTGCTGCTGGCCGGCGACCTGTTCGACCACGCCAAGCCGTCGCCCGCCAGCATGTTCAAGTGCACGCAGATCATCCGCAAGTACTGCTTCGGCGACAAGCCCATCGCCGTCGAGCTGCTGTCCGACCAGCTCGAGAACTTCTCGCGCGTCGCCAACTACGAGGACCCCAACCTCAACGTGTCCTACCCCATCCTCTCCATCCACGGGAACCACGACGATCCCGTGGGCCAGGGGAGCATAAGCTCTCTGGACATTTTGTCCATAACGGGCCTAGTCAACTATTTTGGGAAATGGACTGATTACACCCATGTACGTATCACACCCGTGCTTCTTCAAAAAGGAGTAACTAAATTAGCTCTGTACGGTCTCAGTCATCTCAAGGACCAGAGACTGTCGCGATTGTTTGCAGAAAAAAAAGTTGAAATGGAGAGACCGGATGAGACTGATGATTGGTTTAATTTATTGGCATTGCATCAGAATAGGGCAGACCGAGGACCAGGAAATTACATACGTGAAGATGTACTGCCGTCTTTCTTGGACCTAGTTGTATGGGGGCACGAACACGATAGTTTAGTTTGTGAAATGAAGAAGAGCAAATCAGACGGTTTCTCAATCGTGCAACCGGGAAGTACAGTAGCCACATCACTAGCGGCGGGGGAAGCGTTGCCAAAGCATTGCGCTTTGTTGCAAATACATAAGACAGATTACATACTGTATCCGATCCCTCTCAAAACAGTTAGGCCTTTCATATTTAAAACAGTAGTATTATCCGAGGAGAATCTAGGTGACGAAGGCGTTAATGAAAATGAGAAAGTACAAGAATTTCTCAAGCTGAAAGTGAACGAAGCGGTCGAAGAAGCCGCAAGCAAACGCAGCGGAAATCCTAAACAGCCTTCGCTGCCTCTCGTAAGGTTGAGCGTTTTTTACGAGAGAGATTGCCAGGATTTCAACAGAGTCAGATTCGGGCAGAACTTCACCGGAGTCGTCGCGAACCCGAACGACGTGCTCATAATGAAGAGGGAGAAGAAAATCCGGGAGCGGAAGGAGGCGCCGGCCGACGACGAGCCCGTGGAGATGGCCTCGGCCGCCGCCGCCGCCGCCGACGTGGAGACGCTGCTGCACGCCTACTTCGGCGCGCTGCCGCCCGCGCGCCGGCCCGCCGTGCTGTCCGTGCGCGCGCTCACCGACGCCGTGCGCGACTTCACGCTCAAGCACGACGAGGACGTGTTCCGCCGCGTGTTCGACGCGCACAAGCGGCGCTGCGTGGCCGCGCTCATGCAGTCCACGGCCGAGACGCCGGCCGAGGCCGACGAGCGCCTCGCCGACGCCAAGCGCGAGCTGGACGAGGCCGACGCCGAGCGCCTGGCCGAGCTGCTGGACCGCGCGCAGCGCCTGGCGCCGCCGCCCGTGCGCCAGCCGATGGTGGTGCTGGAGCGCGACGTGGTGCAGCTGTCCAGCGACGACGAGCCGCCGGCGCGCGGGCGCGGGCGAGGCCGGGCTCGCGGGCGCGCGCGCGGCGGGCGCGGGCGGGGCCGGGCGGCGCGCGAGCCCGAGCCGGCGCCGGAGCCCGTGGAGCGCCGCACGCCGCGCCGCTCGGCCGCGCAGAAGTCCGCCTCGTGGCTGCAGAGCCTGGCGCAGTCGCGGCGCCGACGCAACTCCTCCGACGAGATCGACTCTGACGACTGATAGCTCCCGTTTCGATTTCGCACATGTAAATGTAGGTTCTCTTTTATTGTCAGCGCTTTAGGCCGGTCCTCGAGATGTTCTCGATTTTATTTGTGCTGGTTTATCTTATTGTTAATAAATGAGAGTCATTATAATTCCAAAATTTTGTTATTATTCATAGTACCAAACTTAATTTTTGCCATTTCCTGCAAATCAAAGCATTATTCAGAATAATAACCTCATTACAGTTTAAGGTACACAATGATTTATTACAATTATAATAATTGGCATTAAAAGTTTAATAGACGAGTATCGATCGACATTCGGCTTAGTTTTATTCTGTAACCTATTATTTGATACCGTTTGAAGATAGATAAAGCTCATGAAGCACTTTCAGGATAAGTAGCCAGTTTTTTAATGTCTTGTAGGTATAGTTTAGAAATAATCGAGTGAGATCACTTATCGTTTCCACTCTGTAGACATGAAATCTTTCACAATGGAGAAGTTTCCAATTTTTTTCTATTAATAAAACTTGAAAATATAAGTAAAAACCTAATAATCATTGTGAAAGAATTATGAAAATATCTCTAGAAATAAAGAAGTTACAGGGCCCCAAAGTTGCGCATAACTTTTGAGTTTTGGTCTATATTTTAATCCCATTCAGTGAAATAAACGTTTTCAACATCATGAAACTTCTCCATTCTTTCGTCGAGCAGGACGGCGCGGCACGCGGCTCCACCAAGAGATCGGATTTCATATCCAATCTGTCGTTTTTAATGAAAGTCAGGAATGTTAATAATTACAAAGTATTTATTTAGATAAATAGATGTGTTCCCGTGTGTGTATACTCTTAACGTTAGTCGGCCGGTCGGCGCAGGCGGGCTAGGCGAGCTCGGGCGTGGCGGGCGGGCGGCGGCGGGCGAGCGCGCGGCGCAGGTAGCGGGCGGCGGCGGCGCGCGCGCGCTGCGGGCTGGCGCCGGCGAAGGCCAGCGGCGGCGCGGCGGCGTCCAGCGTCAGCACGTGCAGCGGCGCGCCCGCCGCCTCCAGGGTCGTGGCCTCCGCCTGCAGCCCCAGCGCCGCCAGCGCGCCCTCCAGCCCGCCGTCGTGCTCGGCCTCCAGCGCGCGCAGCGCCGCGTCCCACGCCTCGGGCTCTGCAACAAAATCAAAATCAAAAATATTTATTCAGTTTAGACCACAAGTGGCACTCATGAACGTCAATAGAAAATAATAAAAAAAGAAAAGGTAGCCCTTATGGGGCACTTTACATGTCTCCTTATCTTTTGTGCCCTACCGGCGCTTCGAGACAAACATATGGCAAGTGCTGAGAAGAAACGCCGGAACAAACTCAGCTAGATCGCGTCGTCGTGCTCGCCCGCGACCGCTCGGCGAAGTGGGGCACGATGATACCGTCGAAGTGCGACAGAGCGAGTGGAGCCGGTCGAATTAAACCCGTAGTTGTAGCAGACAGACGGCTTTGTCACTTTTGGGCGTCTTTAAGGCGCGCGCGCACTGGTGACTTTTTTTTGTCGCCGTGACAGTATCCGTGATAGATAGTACGTTTTATACCTTTATAAAGTGAAGAGAAAAACTGTTACGGTGACAACAGTCACCCGTGCGCGCCGCGTGCCTATTGTCCGGTAGTTGACGAGTTGATCCTCATGCACATTATTTCGGGACAATATTATTTGATCCTCTAAAAACTAATTGATGTTTTTTGTATGTGCACTTTTAAAAATAAATGATGTTTTTTATTATATTTTATCTTTATATTAATTATTGGGTCTATATTAGTTGATCTANGCGGGGAGTTTGATCCGAGCGTCACTATTATAGTGTGCGTGTGCACTCATGAATAATTTAATGGGTACCGATAACACTCAAACATTAGCTGAATAATGATGGGTCGCGTCTTCGTGGATGACACGATCTACAGGGTGTTAGGTAAATGGGTATAAGAGCCGACACTAGCCCATGTTAACATGGGCTCATATACCCATTTACCTAACACCCTGTATATCTAGAAGAACTAGACGATATTCATCTTAGTGACGTCCATCTCTACGACTGATGTTGTAATAGTAAAAAATAGCTTTGGTCTACAACTTCGCTCGTTAAATTCAGATTGTCATACAAAAATAAAACATGCATTCATGCAAATGGAGTTTTTGGCTAGACTGTGGCTTTGTGCGGTTTGCACATTTAGCCAGTGCCGAATAAAATTATGCAAGTTGTCCCACCCAACAATTGTTTTTGATACTAGTTACCTTATTTTGTCGTAGTGCATGCACTGATGCACAAGCCGTGCAAACTAAGTTAAAAATGTGACAGTGTGTAATTATAATTTTTTTTATGGGGGATCTTTGCAACGATGTACCGCCTGGCGGAATAAATACGTATTATGGATCCCCATAATTTTAAATGAATGCGCAGCATGCTTCATTAAATAAACAAAAATTTCAGCACACTTGAAACTTAAAAAGGCTACCACCAAAACATGTTTGTAAAAAATAAAACAACAATACTAGCCAATGAAAAATATTGGATTTTAAAGCCAACAAACAAATACGACGCTACTCCGTTCCGAGTAATAAGTTTTGCCCAGTATAATAAATTCATTAAAATGTGTTGCAAATTGTGGAATCAATCTGGCCTTCGACCGAGTTCCCGGCTCATCTCATGCGATGAAACCTCTCAATCTTTATCACATTGCCCAAATAACTATTTGCTAAAACATGGCTCATTATGATCGAGAGTTGATATCTCATTAGATATCGCATGTGTATGCACTATTGCAAACATAGAGACTGGCATACTGTGTGCGTGAAATTTTCATACAAATATGTCGCAGGAAATCGGAAAAACCGCGCAATCGAGCAGGGAGTTTTTTTTAAATCNCTTTTTAATCGTCGAGCAAGTTTCGGGACCACCACAAAAGATCCCGTTTTTCCGATCACCCTACGACACACGGATAAAGAAGCATGTCAGATTTCATTCATACAGCGGAAGCCGGGCGATCGGCGTCGCGTCCCAGTCGAGGACAAGAGATCGGAGGGGGTTCGCGGCGCGGCCGGGCGGCGCCCAGTATTCGGAGCGGAGCGCGCGTTAGGTGCTCCACCTACCGAGGCGACAGGTCAAACCTAGGTGGTAGTCCGCCACGCGCTGGCCCAGGTCCGGCCGCAGCCGCTCGTCGCGCGCCTCCTGGAAGCGCTCCATCGCCTTCGCGTGCGCGCGCACCAGCGCGTCCTCCTGCAACGGACGGCAAGCTTAGCGAGAACTCAGCGGGGCGCAGACTAGGGACGTTATGGATATGTATAGTCTGGTCCGTGAGCATGTAGAATTTTGTCCAATGACCCCTAGCTACCCATCCTTATCACTCGGGCGTAATTATATTGCTGTCGCGACTGTGCGACTGGCACCCGCAGTGAGTGTGCAAGCGCGATAGCAACATAATTACGCGCGAGCGATAAGGATGGGTAGCTAGGAGTCATTGGACAAAATTCTACGTGCACACGGACCGGGCTTTAGTTTCGGTTATGGATACGGATATTTTTTATTTCGGATATCCGCAAGTTTCGGTTACGGTTACGGATATCTGTGCTTTAAAATGCAATTTTCAATAGTTGTCCAACACGGTTCATTAATGGCACACTTTACATGGAATAAAAAGTAATAAAAGAATAAAAATGTATAGGTACTAAAGCTCGCACACTCACTGCGGGCGCCCGTCGCACAGTCGCGACAGCAATATAATTACGCGCGAGCGATAAGATGGGTAGCTTGTAGTGATGGGCCGACTATGGTCTTTGTCGAATAACCGACTAGCCGACTAATCGGTTTCCAAATTGCCGACTAGTCGGCCGACTAATCGGCAATGCCGATCATTCTAATACCTACTTGTTCGAAGAATAATATCTAGATTTTCAAAGAAATAAGAATATCTAGATTTATAAGAGATATACAATAACTTCTTGAGAAATAAGATTTCTTTATTATGAGAAAAAATTAAAAGCAACATAACAATCACTTAATAGTACCTACGGTAGATGTCATAATTTTCGACTGCGGAGGGGTCAGGGGAGGTGACAATAATAATATAATCGCTTCCTGCTGGGCTAGGATGCGCGCCGTGATATTCTTATCGACGTCAAAATGTATGGGAAAATAAAATGGCGTGATAAACGCTTATCGCGGCGCGCATCCTAGGCCCACTGATTCCTCTTCACCCTCATGGTGTGGACCACGAGGGCGTGGGGATTTCCTGGTATTTTTAACTAATCTTAACTTTATATGAATTCAGACTGATTGCCAAACTTTTTAATTACGTGAAACCACTTTAGACTGATTTTTGCTGTCAAAAGTAGTTGAGATAAACGCCCTTGGTAGACCAATCATCTTGGTGATTATGAGTTTTATTTCATTCACATATTTAGTTTTGTAATGCGCCGATGCGCCGATTATAATCGGCATATTTTGCCGAATAGTCGTCACTAGTCGGCCGACTACAAATGATGCCGAATAGTCGGCTTTCCCGACTAGTCGGCCCATCTCTAGTAGCTTGGGTTCATTGAACAAAATTCTACGTGCTCACGGACCAGGCTTTAGATGGCATTATTAAGGTAAATCAGGCTGTTATGCCTTTACATAATATAATGCTGTACAAAAAACAATTTAAACTGCCTACATCCGAAAATATCCGAAACTTTTAATCGATTACGGTTACGGTTTCGGATATCCGAAAGTTTCGGTTACGGTTACGGACATCCATAACCCACCTCCACGAAGTCCTTGGTGAGGCGCGCCAGGTTCTCGCGCAGGTAAGAGTAGAGCTGGTCGGCGGCGATCTGGCGCGCGGCCTTCTTGGTGGTGGCCGTGGCGCTGCGCGAGAACTGGCCCACGCGCGCCGCCACCGTGAAGTGGCGCAGGTGCGGCGGGCCCGTGTCGCCCACCTGCAACACCGACGAACGACGTCATTTGTGAAAAATCATATGAAATTAATTTCATTGATCACTCCTTGTACGGTGCAACCGTGCATTTTTGTTTGTATAGCATAAATTAATTAGGTCAACTAATGCGCGCCGTCGATCATTTGCATTTTTACACCAGTTCACGTTTTACACCGACACACGGCGGACGTCTACTCATTATATTATTATCAATATCAGTAGTTATAAGTTATCATCAATAAACTCTCTATCTCTCAATCAAGCATTCTATCATTTAAGATGTCCCGTACACTCCTGCTATTTTACTTCACATAGACTGCTATAATTTCACAGTCGACAAAATCACGAATCGTATGAATTTCATTCATTCATTCGAGCGAAGTCCGTGAACGCAGCTGTGCCAAACGACCGAGCGAGTAAGAAGGAATGATTTGTTCATGTGCGTGTTATAAAAGGACGAGAGATGTGATGACAGAGCATTTTAAATATGAACTTTAAACTAAAAGGTGTAAGGTTTAGATTGTCACGATTCATATGATTTCATTAGATAGCAAGTTGCAACGTGCTTGTTGTTTGTTTACAACGAAATGAAAGATTTTTCATAGGTCGCGCGGTTATTGATTGTTGCATACATACTGTGCTGTGAAACTGTTTGTTTTCTGTTGTGCGACATAAAATCAAACGGATATTATGCCACATTTCATACAGGTAGCTAATTAGCAATCGTTCATCATAATAAAATTCATACTTCATTAAAAGTAGCATATTAAATGAAAGAGCTACATTATAACACTGAATAAAAATCATTGCCTGTGAAATTTCACACGTGAAATCATATGAATAAAAATCATAATTTCATAGAATGAAAAATAGCAATAATATTCATGGCTAATACCACAGAATAATAATAAGTACTACGTACAGAATTTTACTTCGCGAAGGTATTTGAAAAAATGTGTGCTCAATGTCATTAACAATATGGTGTAATTTAGCCTGTCTCAAGAGTCAAGCACCATTTTGTTGACAAACGTCAGTGATCGGTACTGCGCCGAAGCTATAGGGCTGACTTTATTTTCTTCCATCATACACAAGAATACGCGTGCGTCAATGCTCGCTCGTATGCGAGGCCTTGTCGAATAGTAGTAGTAGTCCTGTAGGTGGGCCATCGTGCGTGTTTTGTTTTCGATGTAAACTCGCGGAGATGAACAGGCCTGCTAGTACTGACCAGCTCGTACTCGGCGCCGGGCAGGCGGTACTCCTCGCACAGCTCCTTGAGCAGCGCCACGTAGGAGCGCGCGCCGCCGCCGCCCGCCTCGCCTGCGCCGCGCGCGCTCGCCGCCGCGCCCTCCTCCGCGTCCGTCTGCAACGCGCGACACCGCACGTGAATACCATTTACTCGATAAACTTATGTTAAACGTACCCACAGGGTGTGGTTTTGTAAAACGACGCCCTTCTTAGGGGTGGTAGTACACATGAAAGTAATTGCAAGAGAAATACAAATAAAACTCATTTATTTCTGTAAATAGGCTTTAAAAAGCACTTTTACACTTCCCAGTATTAACCCTACCACTGCTTCAGAACAATAAATGAGCCAGTGCTGAGAAGAAGCAGCGCAAGAAACACATTCACATTGTCAAAAATTTAACTATTACTTTATTAGTAAAAACCTTGTTCAAACGTCTTCTAAAACCCTCGAGACGGCGCTTGTTACCGCCCGCACCACCCCCGCGTGCCCCGCTCCACCACCGAGCACATGCGGCCGTCGCCCCGTGTGAGCGGGGGGACTGACCGATAGTTCGCCCGCGTAATAATACCTGATTTCATGGATATTTCCATTAAAATTTAAGGTATTTTTTTGAAATCAGTGTCGTGTATACTACCACCCCTGAGATGGGGGTTGTTTTACAAAACCACACCTGTATAGAGCTTTTCTATAACGTATGTGCCTATTATAATATTATAACTGTGTAGGATTTTTTTATGACATTGTTAAGTACCCAGTGAGAAGGTCTAAAAAGACATAACGATACATATAAACACTGTGAACGTCCATCTCGTAAAATGACCCGTTTGCTTCGCACCGTGTCCCGCGGCCCGCCTGCCCTCCGAATGGTGAAATAATCTTCGTGGCGCATCGTTTCCACATTTGTTTAACCCTTGATCATGAAAATATCTCCACTCCTAGTCTAAATATGATAGGTATTCGATATTTTGTTCCCAATCGCTTAACGGCGCGCGATCACCTTTTCATTTGGTTACTTTGTGTCTCACACTGACACTCAGTATATTGTTATTATTCAANTTATTCAACGTTTCATCAATGAAATCAATCGAAAGATTATTTCCACAATTTTTCCGCCTAGATACCGGTATCGAATACATCTTTATATTCTGAACTTGGCTGTCGTACTGCCAGGTCTGGATACTCGTGGACGACGTTATTATCGCGTTAATTCTCTCTCGTATTTTGTGAAATATGTGATCTACATCTGCAGCACAAGGCCGGGTCACAAATTCTACGACCTCTAGGTCCACTTCGAACTCGTGAAAAATATCCCATCCCATGACATCGGTCCAGTTTCCCGTTTTAAAATCTCGGATCTTAGATTTTCAGCATTCGATTCAAGCACGTCATACCGGCACTAGGAAAGGTTTCGCGCTCAGTATCCCATCGTCGACGAGCGCGCTAGACGGCAGTCCCCGTAAAGGTGTAACTCGTGGACTCACGGGAGACGCTTCTCGGCGCGCGGGGCCCGGGGGCGCTGGCCGCTTGCACCCCGCGGGGCCCGGGGGCGCGTGGGGCGCCGGCCGCTTACGCCCGCTCGGGCCCTCGTCCGGGCCCCGCGGGGCCGACGTGCTCGGCGAGTTTAATTCAGTCGCTATGGATACATTATCACTCTGAAACATTTGAAACTTGCACATTTTACGCAGCACATGTTTGGGAAATACTTGTTATATATTTATTATACAGTTGGTTAAAAATATAGTAACCCTTGACGCCGAATTCATTATTTTTTTATGTACGATGTCTTAATATCTGTCCATTATAATAAAGCATTAATTTTTAGAAGCCACTTATTTAATGATTGTAAAATCTAATTGTAAGATAAAGAAAATCAAGAAAGTATTAGCTGTGAGTAATGATATCCTTAAATACACTGTCTCTGTCAGCGTTTCCAAAATGGCAAGAATGAAGAATTAGGGCACTTGTATGCATAGTCCGTTATTCAATAATATGCCAAAGAGCTCCGTAAAAAAATGCAAAAAACATACCAAGCCACTGTGCGATTACAGCTGTTGTCTCTTCCTTTTTCGTTACAGTATTTTACGATATTCAATGAGCGCATACAGAATTGGACCTAATTTTCAGTTTTAGACTTAGTTATCACATTCTTTCAAAAGTCAACACTTATACAGTTCTCCCTGATGTTAGTACCTGATCGTGCGCGGCGTAGGGCGGCGGCACGGGGTGTCCGAGCAGCGCCAGGCGGCGCAGCATGAGGCGCGCGGCCTCCTGCTTGGCCTCCTTCTTGGAGCGCGCGGCGGCGGTGACGGCGGCGCCCAGCGCAGCGCAGCGGTACTCGAAGGTGGCCAGGTGCTGCGGGCCCGACTGCAACGAGCGCGCGCGTGGCTCAGCCCGGGGTTCCCGAACAACGTGAAGAGGGGCGCCGTGACAAATTAAAAACATTGGGAACCCCTGGCTTAACCGTTAGGCTTGATTTCCTCCTACGCTGACGTTCGGTCGCGTACATCGGTCGAGCGTACGAATAAACACAATGTTCTATGAAGCACCGCACTGCAACGCCGTCGTCAGCGGCAGATGATTACATAGAACTAGTGTGTAATCGTGCGCGCCGCTGACGTCGGTCACCGATGTCAGCCTAAAGGGAAATCAAGCCTTACATTACATTTTAAGATGCCTATTGATTTTTAGATAGATGTTTACTTATTGCATCACAATAATGTAACATAGGGTAGATAAGGCTTAAAGTTAATTATGGAGAATTTATATAGAACTGTTCAGTTAGAACAGTGGTCTGCCAAGTATTAAAAAAAATATTAAAATGCATCACAAAAAAATGAATTATACAACATTGTTCATCTGGTATTCTGGATGAATCACTGGATGGATCAATATCAGATTATCACCTGAATGAAGAAAGTGGAATTTTTAGTATCCTCATTTCATAAAACCCTTTAGTATCCCAATGTCTTATTTATATGCAATTTACAGAACCCCAATGTAAAAAGTCTCTGACAGATATGGGTATATTTTTGCATAACGATCTAGGTATCTATAAAAATTACTAAAAGGCAATTATTAGGATAGGACAGTAGAATACTTTGCATAATGTAATTAAATCATGCTGATAAACAAAGTTATAATATCTGTCCCCATGTCAGTATTGTGTGGTGGTGTGATACAGGCCAAGAGCTTCCTCGTTGTGGATAAAAAAAAACATAGTGATTGGTGACCTGGTGTTAATTCGACATCAGAATCCATAGTGATTACTTAATAAGTGTTTATGATATATTTTTTGAATGGACACAGTGGCATATTATTATAATGAAGTGTGGTACCTGCGCGATGCACTCGTAGTCGGGCGTCTGGCCCAGCTTCACCATCATCTCCTGCAGCACCGTCACGGCCGTCTTCATGATGCTGCTGAAATTATTTACATCTTTTATTATTCTTATGACTTAACATCCAATGTACTATGATGCAATGAATAAATGAATTATGTTTTTGTATTTTCACTAGAACTGCTTAAAAAATATTACAATAATAATCCTGTTACCATACAAGCGAGACAATAATAATTTGCTTTTGCTATTGAAATGTAACCAATATGAGTTGACTTTTATGGCATAATTTATTACAGCAGAATAAATATCAAGGATGAGGAATCCTCTAAGATCTATCTGTGTAGGTATGTGCTGTACCAAAACTAAAATGAAAAGCAAAGAAGATACGTTGATATTTCCCTAATAACGACATTATCTTACATGACGGGGCTTCCAGAACTTATTCACGATAAGTAACCCATGTAATTGACCACCTGTACCAATTACCATGGACCTGTGCATTACAAATATGATGAAATACTCACTGATAACAAATCGAATTGAGAGTAACAATGATAACAAATAACATTTACTTACAAAAAAATATTCTTCTTGTATTGTTTAGGCGTGTGACTACAACAACACACAACAATTTAACAAAAAATACCCTTGTTTTGATTCTTCTTCAACCAATTCATTTTATGATTGTCAATTAGGGATGCTACCACTCGAGTCGATAGTGTAAACTCTCAATCGGTCTCAATAAACTATCGTTAAGCCATGATCGCACTCTAGCAGGGTTGCCAGATATCAGCTAACTCAATTCGCCTAATTTTTCCTACCGAGTAGCCTAAATCGCCTAATATTTTTTTTTTCCTGAAGTAGCCTAATTCGCCTAACATTTTGAGATAAGTAGGTATACAAAAATACATATCAAATCGACACATTAACCCATTATAGACTAGCGGTCCCATATGGTACCACTTTTTTGTGTGTTTTAATTTGGCTCTATACATTAACACGTGAAAAGATGCAGTGCTCTGATTGATGCAAATCGTAGCCAATAGATATGGTCTATGCTTATAGGAAAAAAAATTTACAGTTATTCTTATCAGTTGTGTGTAATTGATGATTGAAGTGAGCGCATCAAAATTTTCTCTTAAAAATTGACGCGCCATAAAAGTAAGTGATCATATTTTTTTTGTGTGATAGTGAAATACTGATTTTGTTACAATCTTGTATTCTCCATAAATGCTTTTATTGTGAAATGGTGTAAAATTACGTTGATAGGTAATAATAATGGGAAATATTGTATGTCAAAATTACTGGTACCGTACGGTACCGCTAGCCGCTTACCGTGTCTTTTTAATTACTTTATTTAAGCGGTTTAGATTTTTCATACAAAAGGATTTTCCCGCTAATTCCCGTTCCCTTGGGAATTTTGGTAATTCCTTTCTTAGTGCACCTCTACGGTATTTAAGCTACGTCCCTTCCAAATTTCAAGTGCCTACGTTTAGCCGTTTAGGCTGTGTGTTGATCTGTCACTAAGTCAGTCAGTTTCTCCTTTTATTGTATAATATTTAGATTCTTTTTTAACTACAATGTCGTTTATATAAATTACATTGATGTTTTATAGTTCTTTTTTGTTTCTTTGAGTAATATTTGATTTTAATATTGATTTGATTTTAAAGGTGGAAGAAAAAACGTAAGAAACTATTAATAGCAGGGTTACTAGCCAATGGATGGCTAATAATGGCTATTAATAGATAATAATCAGTTATTATCCAAACTAGCTGGCTATAAACCCATCTCTAATCTCGACCGTGATCAGTGACCATAAAGTCATCTGTCAACGGGTCGATTAGACACGATAAAAGCACTAAACGATATTTGTTTACTTTTAGTGCGACATCTCGGGTCGCAAGGACCTGATAAGTTTTTTTTTCAAATATTTACTGTGACGAAGAAACAATTGCAAAACAATATTTATCTTTCGTACTACTGAAAAGACCGAATATATCCATCCCGCACTAAGGCATCCAGCACCTAAGGTCAATTCGACCCGATAACGCAGTGTGAACGTGTTAAGTATGCTTTTTTAATAAAAAATAAATCTTTGAACATCAAGTGCCTTTAAATAATTTCCATCCTTTGACTACAACTTAATAAAAATAAGTACCATAACATAATTATTTTGAAGATTATTTGGTATAGACAAAAAATAATTTATACAAATCGAATTATTTAAAAAAGTATCACAATATTGAATATTTGGTGCTCATTTCTTTTATTTTTGAGGACCAACAAGTAACGATCAGATATAATTTTTACATCTCAATAATTTTTTGCGTAGTTCAAAAGATATTAAAATATCGATCGATTTCATTTATTTTATGTCTCAAAGAAAGAGGATCAATCATTAAAATAGATGACCATTTAGATTTTTTTATTTGCCGTTTTTGCTAATTTAAAAAGATCATTTAAATACATGCCCATTATTTCCAGTTGTTCATAAATATTCTTAAGGGCACCTCAATTCACCACACCCACTACTACAACTACGTGTTTCACTTCGTGCTTTACTCCATCGAGCAGTAATCAGAGAGCAGAAATAACAGGAGTAGCAGCGCGCGTTTATTTCCATACAAAANCCATATGGTACCAGCATTTTTTTTCCAGATTAGAGGTCGAATAATTTTTTTAATGCTTGTATAGCATTATGTAGACCATAATTATGAACACATTTCAAAAAAACAAAAATCTGACACTTTAAGAAAACTCAGTCTATAATGGGTTAATGACAAACACTGTTTATCTCTTTCTAACTTACCCATGGTGACGTATGAAAAAAGAGATAGATAATGTTTGGTCAGCCTACTCATTCTGGCAACATTTTTATGTGACGTCGATAACTACCTGACTTGTGCCGAGTACATACAAGATTAATTATAAGAAATCAACATGGCTGCAATATAGGCAATCAGCTGACAAACACACACACACACACACACACACACACACACACACACACACACAAAACCTGTCATTTCCTATATTGCGGCCATGTTGTTTTCTTAAATCATGTATTTATATTGCGTGTGTGTGCGTAATGTATGTGTTAGCGGCAATTTGTATAATTTAGTAATTCTATACAATCCCTAGTCAATGTGTAAAATCAATGCCTGGGGCGCGCAGGCATTGTATTATTATTGTTCAATAAATACTTTACCTAGGCAGTAGGTCTAAGATGCGCGCCTCGATAAGCGGTTATCACGCCATTTTATCGATTTTGCTTTCTATACAATCCCTAGTCAATGTGTAAAATCAATGCCTGGGGCGCGCAGGCATTGTATTATTATTGTTCAATAAATACTTTACCTAGGCAGTAGGTCTAAGATGCGCGCCTCGATAAGCGGTTATCACGCCATTTTATCGATTTTGCTCATACATTTTGACGTCGATAAAAGTTATCACGGCGCGCATCTTAGGCGTACAGGTGTATGTAATTCCTAGGCATTGTATGGAATACCAGCTGGCCCACCGGTAATGTGTAAAGTAAACAGATTTTGATCATTATTATTTATGTAGGTACGGTTAGGGTGTAGCAAAGGGGGTGCAGGACTTAGCCGAATAACCGAATTTTCGAACGTAATTTGTCTGGAGCTGACACTTAGAAAAAAATTGACGGATTTAGTATGGAGTTTGGATTTTTTAGAGTAGTAAAGGGGGTAGGGGTCATTTTAAAAAACTAACTGAATTATAGAATACTAGGTTAGGATTTATTTTTCCAAGATAATCCTGAAGTAGCCTAAATAGCCCAATCTTATTTTCTAGGTAGCCTAAATGGCTACCGGTAGCCGTTTGCATTTTTTGGTCGCCATTTGACCCCCAGAGGTAGCCTAAATGGCGATAATTCGCCTAATCTGGCACCACTGCACTCTAGTAGCTTACAGTATCGATAGACTATCGTTAAACATAAAGCTTAGTTCTCACTAAAAAGTAATTAAGTTTAATAACGCACGAGCGAGTAAATTAGTAGCAAAACGTGAACATCAATTTGTTTTAAAAATTGTATATTTACAGTACAGTCAAAGTCACAAAACTCACAAACGGTCATCAAAACCACTTTTGACAGGAAAAATTAGTCAAAAGTAGTTTTTCTTGATTTAAAGTTCAGAATATTACACCGGTCCAAAATTCAAAACGTTTCTACGTTAACCCTTTCACGCATATGGGACACATTTGTCCCCGCATAGTTTTTATGATTTACAGTAATACTAGTTAAGTTAAACCCTTTGTAGTTAAATATTCTTAAATTTTATTATTATCTTTTATGTTTATGCGCTATAAATAATAAAAAACGCGATTCTTTGTGTAAAAAAATACTGGCACAAAACGTGAAAAAAAAATTCGTTAGACGTCAAAATTAAAAAATATTTTAATATTACTTAGCAGCTTTTTGGCCATTATTTTTCTTCCGATTTATATTCACTAATAAGTATAATTATCGTTTTATTACATATTTTCGATTTTCTTCGTATGCATAATGAATATTATGTAAAAATATGTATTGGGACACGGGTGTCCCTATGTGCGTCAAAGGCAACTTGGTTCTTACTAAGGATATTGTTTGCCTCGTTATAATTTGTATGTTTATATTGATGTTTTATTTATAATTCATATATTTTTTTGTTAATCATTTGTCTTCAAATTGACTTGAAGAAATTTCACTCAGGAAAGACAAAATTTAGAAGTCATGATGACTGACAATAGTGACAACGAGGATGGTTTTCTCCTTGATGAAAGGGTGTCTACTGCTGGACAGAGGCTTCCCTGAGGATTTCCACAACAATCGTTCCTGTGCTGCTCGTATACATGAATGTATATGAGCAGCACAGGAACATGAGGCCTGCCACACTGCGTCTTCCTATCCATGGGCGCCGCTCGAGAAATTTTCTGCTCAAACGGCCATCACTTCTGCTAGCTACGTGCCCTGCCCATTGCCGCGAACGTTTGGTAATTATGCGGGCTATGTCTGTTACTTTGAGTCTCCTGCGAACATCCTCATCACCCTTTGGGTGACTTTGAGCCTTCTCATAAGGTGAGGTGAAGTGTTCTCCTCATAGTGAAGGAACACGTCTCCCTTCCGTGCGTCATCGCCGCCAAGCCAACACACATTGGTCAAAGACTTTCAGTCAAAGGTCTTGAGACACTTTGGATAAGAAGAAGTCCCAAAGCCTCTAGGATGCTGTCCCCCCAAGTAAGATTCAACTATTGTAGTCACGGCACGGCTGAGACCCTGGAAGACCTAGAATCAATGCTCTATGGCCTCAGTAGAGGCTCTCAATAAATGGGATTCAAAATAAACATGGACAAGACGAAAAAATTATGTCAAATATCCGTGTTACACGCACTCCTCTGAACGCAGGAGACTCTACACTCAAAGTTGTTCTTGAAACAAACAGTCAAGTTAGGTAGGTCTAACGTCAAGAAAGAGGTCTATGATGAGATGAGGATCAGACATAAAAATACGTAAGATGTGATGCTATCTTTTTTAAATTTCTTATTATAAATATTAAAAATAAGCTTATTGACTAAATTCAATGTGTACTTTTAGTGTGATTTGTATTTATTTTGCAATAAAAGCGTCCAAGTATTTTATTTTCAATATATGAGGCAATGTATACCTTAACGCATATAGGGACATATGTGTCCCCGACTGAAAAACACTGAAATACATAGCACTTATATTTTCTGTACTACTTTTATGTTAAATTAGACTAAAATAAATAGATATAACTAAAGAAAAAATAATTTTATGGTTTGGATTGGTTATAAGCGTGTAAGGGTTAAGTAACTTACCTTAGGTACTTAAGTACCTATTTTTTGTAGTTACTTTTCTTCTCATCACACGATTTTTGAGGTCAACTATCCAATACCACAG